TATAACCATATAGATTGCAAAATGAATTATTTCAAAATTTTGAATAGCTAACAACTAAAATTAAATATGTACAGTACAATTAAGAACTCCCTGTCTAACGAAGTTGGTTAAAATTGGTATCTCTATAGATCTTGTTCAGAAACATACGGCACGCGACACGTGGTAATATAATAACATTGAATGTTATCATTGAGGGTTTGTCCTTTACCTGTCAAAGGATTATTTTGATAGCGCACACGCGTATTTCTGTATAAATGTTTGAGAGCTCTTAGAGGATTATATTCTATGATCAATAAATATCGGATAAGATCTGTGTTGCAGCTGTAGATAATATTTTTCTTCTGTCGGCTCTTCTTTACATTGGTCGTAATTTATAGAAAACTTGGGATTCTATTAATTTTATTTATTACTAGCTGTACCCGCGACTTCGTCCGCGTGGAATTTAACTTTATTTTTCTGAAATAAAAGTAGCCTAAGTTACTCCCTATTACAGCTACCTGCCAAAAAATGCCCCGTTCAGAGATTAGCCGGAACAAACAGAACGACAGACAGACAGACAAAAATTTTGAAAAGTGTTTTTTTGGTGTATGTTCCTTATTTATATTCATATGCATGCAGTAAAAAACGGTTATTTCAATATTACAAACAATTTTACTTATACACTCCAATTTTATTTATATATATATATATAGATACCGAGAAAGTAAAAGAGCAATAACAAGCTAGATACGTCCTTACCACCACTACGGAAGCCGGATGATAACTTGGCACTCAGTGCAAAAGAGAAGGCCGATTTGTTGTGCGCTCTTTTTGCCTCAAATTCGACTCTAGACGCTAGGGACACCATACCTACTACCATTCCATGGTGTAGTAGCTCTATGCCAGAAATATCCGTAATGCAGTGTTGGGATTCTCGGTGTCGACATCTCTAGTACTGTTGAGTTCCGCAGTCACTTGGAAGAAAAGGTAAAGCTGGCATCCAAGAAGCTCGGTGTGCTCAATAGAGCGAAGCGGTACTTCAATGCGGACCAGAGACTTCTCTTATATAAGTCACAGGTTCGGCCGCACATGGAGTACTGCTCTCATCTTTGGGCAGGAGCACCTGGATACCAGCTCGGTCCTTTTGACTCGGATCAGAGACGTGCTATGAGAATTGTCGATGATCCCAATCTCTCTCGCGGTATCGAGCCACTCAGCTTGAGGCGAGACTTCGCTTCGCTTTGTGTGTTCTACCGATTATACAACGGACTGTGTTCTGAGGAATTGTTCGACATGATGCCGACAGCCACCTTTTACCACCGCACCGCTCGCCATCAACAGGGAATTCATCCCCACACACTGGAACCTAAGTGGTCCCGAACAGTGCGGTTTCAGAAGGCGTACACTTAGATTCTGGAATGAACTTCCTACCGAGGTTTTCCCATGAGACTACAGCATGAGACTTTTTCAAGAAGGGTATATTAAGGTTTCTTAAGGGTCGGCAACGCGCAAGTGATACCCCTGGTGTTTCAGGCGTTCATAGGCTACGGTAACCATTTACCATCAGATGGGCCGTATGCTTGATTGCCACCATAGTAGTATATAAAAAAAAATGATAGGTATGACGGGTTTATTTTTTCTGTATTTATTGTTGTTGTGTACGTAAATAGTAAGATAAAAAGATAAGTGGCCGAATTTCTTCCTTCTTGGTTCCCACTTGTTGTGATAGCTGCTCTAGGAGAAATAATACTAAAGCTATGGTATTGTTGATTAATGTTACTAATAATCAAGTATTTTTTTTAATCTTTGACGTTTAATTTTCCAATTTACAAGTAATTTTTCATTTTTTACTTCTATTATAAAATTTATTTGACCTTACCTATATGATTTACAGAAATATAAAAGTACTGGCCTATGTAAGACATTATAATCAGAGTTACAATATGTTCAGCAGGTAAGTATTAAGAGAAATTGACCCGGATTAATAATTTCACAACAACTGATTAATTGTTCGGCTACCATGTGTATTAGCCGAATTAACAAAATCTTATTTCCAATAATTCTATCAGTCTCATCTTTAATTTGCGTAAATTCGATCATATGTCTTCTTTTCTTTCTATCCTCTATCGTCGAAATGTACGTATACAATGTACACTCTGTTCGATTCTATACAATCATATATGTCCTGAACAGTAGGTAAATTTCGTTTCTATGGGGACAACACCAATCGCTTTCTATGCACTATCAGAAAATATTTACCTATACATAGGTACTACAATGACATATCAATATATGTGCAGGTAGTATCTATCCAAGTTTGTTGTCAATAAAATCATTAACTAATAGAATATTATTGATTTGTATGGATTATATTTCTGGATAACAATGTAATTAGATAATGATCTTATTTGTTTCCAGTAGATACCTAAATACCTTTTTGTTGTCTTTAGGGAATAACACCACTGTAACAATAAAATAAATATTTAAAAAAATATATAGTATCATAGCTGCGATCGCAAATAGCCATTTAATATATTTAAAAATAAAATTATAATAATTCAAATTTGGAAAGTCAGGCACAGAACACATATTTATTTTATATAAATTTTGCACTTCTCGAACATTCCGTGGCGTTATTACTAAAATCAGTGTACAAAACATTCAAAATATTTTTTAAACATTAAACATTGTTATATTTCTTCAGCAAACAATAGCCTTAACATTAGTTTTATTTAATTACTAACTTCTCCCAGTTACATCGACTATGTGACCATAATCGATTGGATTAAGAGTAGCCCAGCCTTTATATCAAAATGTCTATAAATTTCATTATGATCGGTAACTTAACTTTCACGTAGTAATAATAATAATACACTATTATTATTATTACTTGAAAAGTTAAGTTAGTGAAATAATTACACATATTAACCTACATAGATATAAGTCACTTTCGCTTGCCTATTAATTAAAATTATTCAAAAAGGTGTATCAAAATATTGTGTAGGATTATATTAAATTGAATGATTCTATATGTAAGAACGACAACAAGATTTTGCACATAACACATATCTATGGGCGGAGGAAGTCGTAATAGTTGCAACATATTGTCCAACAAAAACTTTTGAACACACATACCTATTGTTATTATTTGATAACTAGGTAACTGATAAGGAGTTGGTAGGTATATATACTTAACACATGCCTTGCAAGGCACAAAATGCTGACTGCATTACGAAATTATAATAGAAGCCTTTATGCCTTGCCGCAATTTATTGTGTTACCTGCATATAATGGTGAGAGAGAGTATAAATATATCTATATATTTTCTGTGTAAAATAAAAAAATATGTTAAATTAATTAGGGTATATTACATTACATATTTCCTTAGTATATGGGATGAGAAATAAGATGAATCGTATGAACCTATTTTGGGTGAAGAATGACAAAAACAAACTTAAATATTACAATCGTGAACCAGCTTACATTGTCAGCTTGTATTATAAGGAGTACTATCTAATCAACACTAACTTTGACCGATACAGATTTTGTAATAAGTAGTCTGCGTAGTCCACCTCAAACTCACCTATTTCTGCTACTAAATACTTTGTTTTGTATGCTGTGTTTTGATTGAGAGATAAGGAAATGCAGCGAAATTTCGGGATAAGAGGCATGATATCTTAAGTCTTCTAGAATAGCAACGCATGAGGGGTAACACGGGGGCCACACTATGACTCGGTGTCTGTAACATTATTCATATATTTATATATAAGGCTACTGTTACCACTTACCATCAGATTGGTCATCAGGTTATTTGTGATAGCCCTAAAATAGGCATCACAAATAAACTGATGGATATATAAGTATAAGTGTATAATAATACAAGTGTATCGCATTGTAATATCTCTCTATACCTTTAAAATGAACAGAAAATCTAAAAATAAGAAGAAAAATCCTTCAATAGCTAACTGCTCAATGAAGAGTAATGTATTAGAATACATGTGTAATGTATTAGATCTACTTTAGCAGTTTTTTACTTATATACCTCTTATCCTTATATACCTACATAAAAGTAGGTATATAAAAATAAGAGGGTAATTATAAAAATTGGGTAGAATGTGTATTTAGTCTATAAAGTTTGTCTAAGTATATTGGTAAAATAAAAAATTAAAATTAGTTTCAGGAAAGTACTTATCAACAATAGAACTGTGCATAAAACGTGTCTGATTGTATGTAGATGTGTTTACTTTTCAAGACAAAATGGCTGAACGAATTTTGATGAAATTTGTCGTGAAGATATATCTTTTTCCTTTCCAAATATAACTAAAATTAGTTCCTAATAATGGAGAGTCCAAATAAATAAAAAAAAATATTTCTTAATATTTATATTTTATTGCACGCACAAAATATGTACATGATGGATGAGAAATAGAAGAAAAGGTAAAAAACATTTTCTTGAGCAATACTTATTACTACAACTTATAATCTAAGAGCCTATATTACTTTTTATTTGTAAAATTTACAATAGGTTTGCACTTTTTAAAGTTTGGTTTGCATTTTAATTGATTATGAGTTTGTTTTGTTTGTGAAATGTTTAAATACTTACACATCTAAGGTACTTTACCAATATGCATTTCTATTATACTTAATATTAATTGAATATACAATTCATGATTACTAACTTAATACAATTTATAACACTGGGTTTATATCAAGTATAAAATACATAATTGTCAATTTCACAAAGACAGTACAGGCTCGCTTAACTTACTTTTTATAAAAGAGAATATGAATATTTTGTGCCATAAAATACCTAGTGAAAATTGGTACAAAAATTCATATGAACCAATACGAAAAAGTGTATTGATAAGAAAAAAGAACTGGCAAATTTTGTCGAATTCATAATCGGTTCCAAATATTTTACAATTGGGAACTAAATCATCGTCATGTACTTATTAAAAACATAAGTTTTGTTTATCCTGCAGGATATAAAAAACTTATATTTAAATATAAACCACGCACCATTAGAGTCTACTACAATGACCACATAGTTTTGTAGCAAGTTGTGCTTGGAGGCGTGCTAGTTCTTTCTTCAAATAATTTGCTTTCAACCCGAGATGGATTTCTCTCATTTTCCTCCGATCTCTGCTCTGCTTAGCAGCTATATTATTTTTTAGCCTCCTTTGCTTGTATCCATCTTCGGCTGCATCTTTACTGGTAGTAATTACAGCACGACGCATTCGCGGATAATCACCTAATAAAACTCCGCCATTTTTCTCAGTCATAACTCGTAGGGCATTTTGCTCGAATTCTTGGTAGGAAGGGTCATCAGATAGCTCATCATCATCTACACTTAGTCGTCTTGAATTGCATAATACTGATGAGTCCGATGATGAGGAAGCCTCTGGTTGAACATGATGTAGAGATACTGCAGCGGAGTTGGGGTCGTAGTACGGCTGTGGATAATAGTATTGCTGTGGATATTGGTACCAATACTGGTAATAACTGGATTGTCCAACAGGATATTCATAGCGAACATCTTCAGCGACATGTACGGACGGACTGTTTGTCGAAGATTTTATTTCTGGTTTAATGTCTGATACACTGGATACATCCAAAGTATCGTCTTCACAATATGGTTTCCAGATAGACATGTTTGGTTTATTTTCTTTTACGCAAATATGATGTTGTCACAAGCACTTCTTACAAGTGAATGATCCTGACTTTTTGATATAAGAGACAGTATATACCTAGTATAGGTGGGAGTAAAATTCATCCCTGATAACGCAACAATGAGTAGGTACCTACTCGTAATTAAGAGGTCGGTGGCTGCTACACTGCCCAAAAGGATTGTATAAGTAAATGACAATAGAGGAACAATAGCTAAAATTTTGCATGTCATATTACATTATTTTGGTTCTTAGAATTGCATTTTATGAAATAAGTACATATATGTTTGTTGCAACTTCTTCCTAAAGTTTATAAACTTAAGCTTGCTTACTTTATACATAAATTTAAAAATATATTTAATATATTTTTTAGTTTTTACTCTGTAGCTATTGACTAAATGCTTTAGTAATTTTTTTTCTATTAAAATCATAAATATTTTAATTTGGCCAGGTTAAAGGACATTTCATACAGTTTTTAGGGATATTAAAAAGTAATCTATTGGGTAGGTATATATTTAGGTCATTTTTAATCGTGTAAAGTAAATAACGAGACTTACATGATTTATTTTAAAAATACATATGGTATTGACTGTCTGCGAAATACTGCATGTTGGGCGTATAGTAAAGCGATCACTGCGGATTGGAAGAGTAAATAATAAATAAATTATAATCTTAATCAATTACTATTAATTATTACTTTTTAAATTATTATTATTATCTTTTATAATTTTTTTTATTATTCCTACCCTACAATACAGATAAACATGCATGGATTGGACTGATGGACTGGAATGGAACTGAATGGACTGATATTAATTAGAATTTCTATGTGAAAGTTGATGTGATCGAGACAGTTCTTAGGTACAATTTATCAGAATTGGACGGTCTCGGTGGTCTAACGGTTTAGAACATCGTTTTTACAATGGTCGCTGGTTCGATTCTTCGCACGGTATATATACAAAAAGTAACTATTTATATCAGTTATCTAGTACTTACTCATAACACAAGTTCTGCTTACCGTAGGACTAGATAAAGCTGTGTGAGAATTGTCCAGGGTTAAATATTATTGCATTTGGATCGGGAGTTACCTACTTAAAATTATTAATTTTCTATTTAAAAACATAAAGTTTTATAACTGCGATAATAATGCATGTTATGTTGGTACTACCAAAAGTAATAGGCACTAATATTTGTTCTCTGGTAGGTAATTTTAATACACCAAACCCAATTTTCATTTTTAATTTAATATCACTTTTAAAAGCCAATGATAGTAAGTTTGCGAGTATATGCAAAATAGTATTATTAGTCAGTATGCGGGTATATTTGTGACAATAGGATCCAGATGAAAAAAGGCTTATTCAAGTTCTTTATGGCCCCACAATGTTTCTAGTAGGTACGACAATTAAACCACTCACGTTGACGAATGAATAGTGACTTGTGTCAGTAGTTTTATTGCCTCATTTTAATGCTCCTATTATATGCAAAATACTACGAACTATGACAAGCCTTTACATTTTGTATTTTTTCTCTAAAAAACAAGCCGCAACTTTTAGAACAGCTTAAGTTATTCTTAATTGTAACTGAAGCGTGGTATTTTTATTCAGTTATGGCAATTGTAATAATTTTTAATGCATACTATCTGTACCTACATCGGTATAATAGGTATAAGTCTGGATCTTTGATGTTATATCCAATAAGGCTACACATTCAAAGAACGCTGATTTGTACTCGTATTTAGATCACGAGAATTACTTTATATGCGTTCTCCTAACCACAGATAAGATAATATTACAGAGCCTAACCAAAACAAAGTACATAAGTAATTTTTTTAAATTTATTACTATATTCTTATATTTAAAGCTGTCTACTTATAGGAAAAAATGAGAAGCATTTTAAATTTGTAACGTTTGCAGTAAAAAGAAGAGTAAGTGAAGCTTAGCTTAAAAATTGAACCCATACACTGACTGTTTAGTTTCTATGTGTATTTCTTTTTATAAAGAAGTAAATAAATCTATGCAAAATCAAATAAATTCATGATAACTTAAAATAGGCGCTGTAAAAGGTCGTCTCTAAACGTAATATTGTATTCTGCATCACATTACGAACGAAAGAACGAAAGAGTAACAAACATCCATTCATTCATACACAAACACTTTCGTGTTTATAATGTTATTAAGATTAGAAATTGTGTATATGTGTCCGTTTGTTATATTTGCACGACTAAACGGCTAAAATTAATCTTAATGAAATTTAATATTAAGATACAGTGTGTCTCGAGCATGATTATATGTATCGGACTGGGTGTTTCTATGTATACTAAGTTTGTATTTACAAAAAAAGAACTAAATAACTAAATATTTATATCAGTTATCTAGTACCCATAACACAAGCTCTGCTTACTGTGAGACTAGATGAGCGTCATCTAGTCTCACGGTGTGAATTGTCCAAGGTTTTTTATTTTTGTTTGTTTAGAAAATATCTTGGCTATTATTTTAGGAAGATTCAGGGTAAAATGTTCCTAATATTGCATTTATTCTAAGCCAATTAATAATATTTACTCATAGTGTATAGTGCATATTTTGTCAGCCTTTAATTTTAAAAAGACCATATTTTCAGTTCTATACTCACAAACTAGAACATTCTTTCCAGTATAAAAGAATATATTCGTGTTCTAAAGCACGTGCCATGCCGCCTACCTCTTTAGAAAGGTATATTCCTTTGTGTCACTGTGACCGCTCCCACCGCTTATTATGAACCCGCCTTTTATAAATACGTTTGTATTTCAAAATGTCACACATAGTTACTTACATTACTTTATGATTAGGATTTTTCAAATTTGCATACTCTACGGGGTAGGTACAGGTTATTTACGGTAGTTATGTAATTGAAATTTGATAAAGAATTAAAAATACTTTTAGGTGTTAATACATTTATTAGGTAGGTATATAAACCATAAATAAAATTATTTAACACAATATTTAGTAATTTCAAATAATGTAATAGCTGCGGGTAAGTACAGTAGGTACCTATTCTATGGGCACGGCGTCCAGAGGCATTGATGGTTAGGCAATCTGCTTGTCTTATAGCAGTGTTAGCAGCAGTGGTATATTACATTTTAACTACTGTGCTCATACCCGATTGAATGAAATCAATTCAATTCCAATGGAATTGTGTAGCCGTGATTTTTACTTTTCTTTAAATATCTATTTTAATTAAAGTTTAATTTTATTATTATTACCAATTTGTATTGTTAGTTTTGTGTGTGTAATTTGTGTCAGTACCTACCAATATTAACTCTAAGCAAACTGTAATAATAACAAAATGGCCATAAAAGCCTGGAAGAAATATGCTATAGGTGCACGGGGCGATATAGTTCCCTAGGTCGTTGAACGATTTCAGTGGCAGAGGGAATAATAATAAAAATATATTCGCTACCCACGAGGTAAACTAGGACGATATATAGGGAGCTACTCACCACAGCTTCGAAATCGGCTCTGAATTTAGGGCAGTTTAGGTCAGGCCCTTTATATATACTAACTGTAGGTATACCAACAAGCAATAACTAATTAATGTTTTTAGAATATTATACTATAATATGTAAGCACATAATTGTAATTGACCAGTATATAAATCTACCTATATCTATCTGTAACAGGCATGACTATGCATACCATTGTTTACTGAATTTACTTAATTAGGAATAGTAAATATCTAATTATAATTATCTAATATAACCACGGTTACCACTTATATCTAATTATGAGTGGTAACCGTCGTCTATATATATATATATGAACAGACATCTCATTACCATGATGACACCCGTGATAGTACTCATGACTCTATTATACGACTAAAATACCATGTTATATTTTAATCGGACTGCCTAATCGCACTCTACAACCGAAACACAGCTTAAGAAAGCAAGCTGCTTGGTGGCGGAAATATGGAGGTAGATACCCTCAGACTTACATATCTCACTCAAGCAGATTTACAGTCTACCACGGGTAAAATTGGTATTTAGAATTGGTAGGTAAAATAGGCATGTATAATTTTTACTTAAGTTTTTTGTTTGTTTCATTGTGCCATACGTAGGGATCGTTTTAAAGTATTTTAGATGAGATAACTTATGAACCAACTCTATCCCGTAGTGATATGTTTGATATTCTATATTCTCCTTTGACAAACGGCAAACCTAAAGGGTCTTAATGGGATAGAGATTACTGAATCCAATGTAAACGAAACTGCGTGCAGGTGCTAGTCTAAAACAACAAACGCAATGCAGATTTCAACTCATTTCAATATTTGAGAAATATCACGTTTATGCATTTTGCCTGTATTCTGCGTAATGGTTGACCACTAGAAGGTACTGGTATTACCGAAGAAGTCCAGTCCCTTGGGATAGTTACAAGTTTGCATCTGACAAAATGCAAGCTTTGACTGTGGTTTAAGTATGAGGTGCTGGCGTTAATTTATTTACATTAACTGTATTTACATTAATTATATAATATGTAATATAATTAAATTACAGTAAAATATTTTTTGCTTTCAAACAGTTATACAATGCGTCTATATTGTCTTTACTGCAATGGTTTTTTCAACCGATTTGACCACATATTTCTAATTAATAGAAGCATAGATAACATAATATTACATAATAGAAGTAACTTTAATAAACGAAACATTTAAATTTAATATTTTTGAATTTCATTCCTCAATATACAACTTAATTTTATATTAAATTACTGAAATTATTTTAATAATAATAATAATAAAAACTCTTTATTGCGCACAAAAAATATAAGTATAGAAGTTAATGTAATGAATATTACTAAATATGTGATATATTTATTGCATGCCATACTACCTTATGAATTCTATGTGTCATGACAATCGCTTATGGCTTGCGAGGTGGACAAAGCAACAGTACCTGCTCTTTTTGCGAGTTATAATCCGCTAATAGTGGGCATTGTCCCCAGATGACGGACACACAGATTCAAGATATTTTTTCTTTGTGTCTCTTATTACAAAGGAATATTTAATAGAAAGTGCTACACTGGGTGACAATGGGCAAGAGTTGCAGCCACGGGCGCATTGTCTGTTCTAGGAAATATCGTAAATCATATTTGTGTTTAAATAACATTTATAACACAAAATAACATAACTTTATCAGTTGGTTGATTATGGTATTGCTACCTACCTATTGTGTGAATGGAAACCTACAACCACAATCGCAATTTACGGGTTGCGTTTTTTGTATTTGTACTTACTACATATATCGTTCTATATAGATATTGTTAGTATATTTCAATACACATAGGTATTAATATTATACTAATTATGTCATTAAACATGTTTTCCAATATATATTGTTTATGTTCACTGTTTGTTACAAATATAGCATATGATATCTATCAATTAAGTTACGGTATTTATATGTTCTCATTAGAGTACCTACTTATGATTTACTCCGCGTGTCATGCAATGGAAGAGTTAAGTTTAATCTAGTAATAGTCTTTCTTTGATTACACTCCACCCAGATATAATTTTATATGAGTTCAAATTCTGTTGGTAGTAGTGTTGAAGTGGGAAATTTTACAGGATATTCTTAACATAGAAACTCATTACATACCGGTAAAGTTTTTTAATGTCTTCATATTATTTTTCACATGTCAAAGAGTTCATAAAACCTTTTACAATTAGGTATACGTACAGCTCTGTGTTCATACAACAGATAGTGGTATGATAAACCTATGGAGAGTGAGATTTTCGTGATGCTGTATCTGTCTAATACAGGGGACAGTAACCACTTTCTAATAGATAGGCTCGCTGCTTCATTAATGCATAATTGTACTTGTCTTAGAAAAAGAAACTTAGAGAAAGAACAGTGGAAGATTTGTTGTATGTCCAGATTTATCTTGTGGGATAATTATCAATGATATGAAATGTGAAATGGCCATCGAATTTGGATACGTGATTACGGTATAGTTGCGTTGGCCAGAGTTCTATGTACCTCTCATTTTAACCTTTCTTGTACTCGACAATGTGTGGAGTGCAAAACTCAAATTTAAATTCTAATTTATAAATTATAGATGTAATAATTAATAAAAGTTAAATATATGCGAGGAAACTTATAGTATTACATTCAGAATTCAATATACAAAAGAAAATAATATACTATATTTGATTGGGATTTGATGGGATTGGCGCCAGGATTACTTATTCCTTAAACTATATTAAAAGAAATTATTAGGTATATAATACAATAAAAACTAATTTCATTTATATAATTTATGTACGGGATATACCGAAAGTGGTAGTAATAATAATAACTATTATAATTACTACCACTAATAATAATCTCAAGACAATTCACACAGCACCATCTAGACCCAAGTTAAGCTAGTTAAAGCTTGTGTTATGGGTACTAGATAACTGATACATATACATAGATATTTTTTTTGTAAATACATACATATTATACATAGAAAACACACAGACCGATACAAACAATCATACTTACTTCATGAATACAAATGGTCGTATAGCGGTGTCCTAAACCGCTAGACCACCGAGGTCGTCAAAGTAATAGAGTTAATAAAGCTCAATAAGGTTTAATATCGATAATGAGCATGAAGCTTTAAATCATATATATAGGTATAAGTGACAGCCTCTAAATAACTGTATGGCCTGCAACCACAGTATTACGTTACAGTATTTTTTGTCGTTCTTTCCAAAATTTCAAATCCCTCTCGGACATAATCTCGGTTCACGCGGAAGGGTTTTTGTAGGTGGTGGCGCGCGACGTAACTGTCCCTAACAAATGTTATTCTATACCACTAATATGCTGACGTTGCAATATAGTCTCTAATAGTATTATTACATAAATGAGTTTGTTTGGAGACTTAGGAGCAGCTGCATGGCCTGTAAGTATTAGTACACTTAAATATACAACAAATATGGTATATGTGTGTATATATCGATTTATAGTAGCCTTTGTATGAAGTCTACAGCGTTGGTACTTCCGTGTGACCAATTTTTGCGGCCAAGTAGCTTTGTACGCTGTTACTGTGTAATTAAAAGGTTATAATATAGCAGTGACATATAATATAGCAGTGGTTATCTTATCACAGAGTACGGTCATGGCACCTCAGTGACAATGCATCAGGGTTGATTACCACAATCGTTACATGACATGACGATACGTTGTTATACAGGCAACCTTACTGGGTCGTCAGCTTGTTCCATTCCAGATTAGTCCAAAAACAGCTTTATACCTTTCATCATAAAAATTGAAATGTTTTATGCTTTTTTTAACTATGATTCTTTAAAATGGCGTGAATACTTATTTTAAAAATAATGAACTTAGTATTTCCTATAGGTATTTAAAATATGTTGATTTTACCGCGGCACCCGCCCGCCTTGCGTACAATACCTACAACTTACCTATATGTAAGTACGTCACTTACTGATTATTCTATAGCTAATCAGGATAATGGTTTTTAAAACCTTTCAAGAATTTTTTTATTTATTCAATTACAAAGTATTAACTTACCATTTTTTAATATTACTACATATTTACAATTTTTTAGAGTAGAAAGAATTTTATACTAATTATTCATAAATCTCAGAATGGAATCGACAAATATCTACCTAATATTATTATTAAAATTACATGTGATCCACAATTAGGTATAACATATGAACATATACCTATGTTACCCAAGGTGTAATGAAACAAAAATAGTCAATGTTAGGTATATCATGTGCTAGTTTTATTTATTTTTCACACATTTTTAATCTCTTACAATTGGTAAATTTATTGCACATAATATAATTAAAAATAAAACAGATGTCCAAATATATACAAATTTAAATTATTTACAAGCATAAAAATACAAAAGTAAACATTATACATTATTTAATCTATTTAATACATATTACTTTACCTAAAATGGCTACATAATTGAAAACCTTATACCTAGAACTACAAAATGAATAATACAATTATAATTATAATTCCTCTGAAGCTTATACAACTTATAAATATTGCTATGTACTATTTTTATTTATGATATCAGCTGCAATGTATACACTGTTCACAAAATATCACATTATTTACAAACCTTGCCGGATTTGGCTATTAGATGCATGTAAATGTGTCGGCAATGCTACGAGTGTAATATTGAAATATTAGCACGTATGGAATCGGCTTCTGCAACGGCTGCAAACATCAGCAGCCAACAACGCTTTCAGTTCTGCAACTTTCTTTTTTAAATATGTAGTTTGTAACGACAAACGAACTTCTCGCATTTTCCTTCTATCTCTACTCTGTTTCGCAGCGAAATTGTTTCTTTGGCGCTGTTTTCTATATGTGTCATCCGCCGCTTCATTTGTTTGAATAGCTCTTCGCATTTTTGGATTATGTCCTAATAGTGTTCCTCCATTTTTTTCAGCCATCACTCTTAGGGCGTCTTTTTCAAATTCCAAATATTCTGCGTCGTTACACAATGACTCTGCATCATATAATTCCACGGATTCTGGTGGTGATAGTGCAGCGTTTGGTGGTATTTCGTCGCATTTATACAGAGGCGGCGTATGCGTATAGCTCACATAATATGGTGAAATCTGGTTTACTGGTACACACTGGTTTATTGGAATACACTGCTGCACTTGTGAAATAGCACACTGCCTGTACTCAAAATTTAAATAAGTAGGCGATGTAGCGCCTAACGGAGGACTTTCAAGGGCTGCAGGAATGTCTTGTTCATTCTTCGTTATTTTGTTGCTTAAATCCAAAGCATATTCTTGCACATATGGCGTCCACAGTGACATTTTGAATGTTGTAATAAATATGTAAAAGTTACTCTTTAATTGATACCACTATAAAGCTCGAAGGACTGTCTATGAATGTCTATCTGTATGCCCAAGCGACCCATAGTTGTCAAGGGGCGGAGCTTGTTAGGGGCAGAGGAGGGGAAACGCTACCCCGAAATAACGGAATACAAGGACGAATGACGCTACCCCGTTAACTTTTTGTATATTGATGATGGATTATTTTAGTTTGAATTATGAGATATAATTAATTTATAATGTACTCTATCTACATTTTCTTAGTAAAAAAAGTTTATAAATAGATATAAAAATATAGTCTAACTTTAATGTCCAAAGATACTTTTGGACATAAAAGTATTGGTGTTATATTTTTATTAAGATGACATTTAAGATTTTACTTATAAAATATAGACAGATACAGACAAGTGTCTACCTGATTTCTCTACATTCGATATGTTTATTCAAAATAATGATCATAAACTCTACTCGTGCCTTTACTACGTTTTTGACGTAACTACAAATTAGGCTGTTTTGTATTAGGTACAGTTTTGATCAGGATAAGCGAATTACGAAATTCGGTAAACTATCACCGAATATTATTATTATTGCAGTACTAACTGTAAATCCGGATTATCCAAATCCAATGTAACTGCAAACCTTTGAGTGTTAGTAGGTATCTAGGTAGGTAGGTATCATACAAATACTACTAGCGTAATACAAGACATAGGTGTAACGATTTGATTTAACGAGATGACTATATGCTGGCAGCATATCATATATTATATGTTTATAAACTTTAACTGAATTTACATCAACATCAACATTGCGTATTGTCAAAGCTCGTGCTGTGCAGTTTTGCAAAACTCTTTTGTTCGGTTTAACGTAGAAACTGTCAATATGCAAATATTCATAGCATTGTCTCTTTACTATTTAGCAATTTAGTGAGACTGCAAATTGAATAGATTGAAGAAAAGGATTGTATTGTAATTTCAAACGAAATTTTCGAACGACGAAACGAAATTCGAAATAACGGTCAAGGCAAAACGTCATACCTCGTCATTTCTTTTGCGACGTACAAGACAGTACAAGTAATAGATAACTGGTTCATTAGAAAACTATGAAGTCTACATTTATTAAAATGTATCTGCTATACGTTTCATTAATATAATTGGTAGTAGATAGGCAAATTACTTGAGTTTCATTATAATATTGCTACCTTAAAACATACATAAATAGTCATCACTTATGCGTTGCGTTTATTACTTATCCATAGTTCAGATAAAAATTTAAAAAATGAATGTATTCTAGCATTCACGGGTTTCTTATATACATTAGGTACAAAAGCATCTAGTAACAAAGTTTTAGATTCTAGAGCCAATAGAATGGGATCTAATTTTTGCAAACAGCGGCTTCCGTTAACATCTCAAATGTTTATCTACTATATATTTATTGTCCCCGAAATAAATATGACAATTTACAACTACTAACAATGTATTTTAAGAAGTGTTTCATTATTATATGCATTCAGCAGGGTATGCGGGCATCTTTGTCTAATAAATAACAATAGCGTTCAGATAAGGAAATTCATTAAAGTATTAAGTTTATGGTGACGGCGGACACGAGTCAAAACTATCAGATTTTATTGCCCCACATTTTGCTTTCGGTAAGCAAGTTACTACGAAAATGTATATTGTTATAATAGACTACTAATCTGTCACACAAAACAGTTGCGGGAATTTTTATGGATGATGTTAGAATGGTCTTGCTACCTGCCCTAAAACTATGAAACTTAGGTTTACTCTGGAGTCTAATTTCAATATTAATTTCAATTTAGTCCATTTTTATACTGTTTTTTCGTTATAGTCGATCTTTAACAATGTTATTTAGTTCTTTCACTGACTACTAAATTACTACATTTAAGACTATAAAAGGTACGTAAAGCCATAATGTTGTTTGATGGCGTCGGTGGTCTAGCGGTTTAACCCACCGCCTTACCCGCCGATGGTCGCAGTTTCGATTTCTCACACGGGACAAATATTTGTAAGATTATTTGTGTCTGTCTGGTTGTCAATACTACTTTGTCATACTGACGCCTAATATGAAAGTTTTGTTTTGACACTTGTTCATAATGACGTTCACATGCAATCATTGCTGTTGCCATCAAGTTTGCTCAATTATACAGATTTAATTTTTCATGAATCCTGATAGTTAGATACTCTGGTTGTAAGAACTTAAAATTGTCCAGAATTATATTTCTTCATATGTAGATGTCAATTACAAATCGGATCTATACGATACTTGACCTAAATACATTAAAAAAACTGTATATAATAATAATAATCTCAGGACAATTTACATAGCGCTATCTAATGTTTGTGTCCCGGGTACTAGATAACTGGTACAAGTACAAAAGATTTTTTTCGTAAATACATGTTTGTATAACATACTATTATACATAACAGAAAACACCCAGACCAATACAAACAATCATACTCATGAATACAAATATTTGTGCCGTGCAAGGAATTGAACCCGTAATTGTTGCCGTAAAGCGGTTTGTTGGACCGCTAGACCACCGAGATCGTCAATATATATTTAGTTAAATTCAAACCAATGAAAATAGATTAGAATAAAATAGAATAGCAGTAATTCATTTAATGTTTAATATAATCAAATACAATCACTAATTTTAATTTCAACTGTAACTTTAAATATGACGGCTTTACTATTTTTGTAGTCAGTAATAATTTTTTTTTTCACAATATAAGTTTCCCAGCATCTATCAGACAAATCGGTCACAATTGAATGCATATGGACATATAAAAAGCCATCACATCGGTCTCTATTCAAATACAGTTACTCGAGTCTTTTCACATGGGGTATTAGAGACCACCGTGACATCATTATTACATACAGAGTAGAGTTGTACACATCCGGAAGTTACGGGTAGTGAATTGGTGGCAATGAAACTATTATGACGGCGACAGTTGCAGTACCATCGCTCCGATTATTTCTAAGAGATATTTCTTGGACACTCGCTTCATTAATTTTCTCGTCCTTTGTTTGGTGCAAAACAGTTATTTTTCTTTTTATTTGACCGCCATAGGTATCATTATATACAGCTTACTGTCACCTAATTTTAGGTAGATATTATGACAATGTAAAAAGTGTATGGGTATTTATTATGCGTTATCATTTATTATTTTCTTCTTAGTGCTTTCATCAGTAGAACGTCCTTAACTGCAAGAGTTAAGTTAAAAGTTTCAAGTCATTATTCTTTTACTAATATCTATCATATATATTTATTAATTCTTCAATTGCATGTATTGCACCGAACGACAGAGACTATAGGTATTGTATACTAACTCGCTTGTACTTCAGTAGTTACGATGTTATATTTGTACTTTTATTTATAATAAAATTATTTGCGTTAAGAATAAACTGTCTTAATAATGCAAAGGATTAAATATAACTTTAAACAATTAAAAATAATTTCGTAATTTATTTTACTTTTCTACTCATATCAATAGTTTTAGGCGGTAGAGATAATTAAATAGACAATTTTAAAAACAATTACTGGTAGATAGAGTGACGTGTGAGACAAGTCAGTCAAACAGGTGCTGATACCGTATTGTTAGTTTACGGATTATCCACTGGAGACTACCAACCATTGCAGATTTTATTTCTATTGTAAGTACTACCATGTCAGCTTTAAGATACGAAAAGAGATCTTAAATTTAAGGTGTAATAGGGTAAATATGAAAGCACTGCATGAAATAGGTGTGATGCCTGACGAATTATTTACGAAAGGGCTGGACTCTCGAGAATACTGTTATGTATTGTGATTCATACAATTCATTATTTCAAAGGTTCCTGCAGCACAGTGATTGTATCAATTGTATGTATCTATTATTAGGGTTTGTGATTGAAATCGCTTTATCCTATATGACATAGTGGCTGTAACGTGCATTATTCATGTTGATAACGAAGACAGGACCTTTGATGAGATGGAATGACACAAACTTGAGAAAAAAATCACATAAATTCGAAATTTGTCTTTTTAAATGATTATATTCAAAATACTCTTAGACATAATTTTCAATTTCATTTAGGGACGATTAGCAGTGGAATGAATGAATATATTTCAGTTTGCATTATTAAAAAAATTCGGATGTTTAGGGCATAAGATATACCTACTTATTTTACAAGTTAGTATATTTAAAGTAAATATACTATGTCTAATTTAGTCATAAGGAGAATTATTATATTAGAAATATATAAATATATATTAAGATGTAGGCTTGTTAAACAAATTGTTTACCTACTGTCCGATTTTATTTGTTATACTACTAAAATATTGAAACCTAAGCAAATCGACTGATAGTGTGAAAATTATTTTACAACGGTTAAACTTATATTTCCAGTCAACAGAACCGTAAAAGGAACCGCTTCTCTTTTGAATATCTATAGAAATATTAAATGAAGCGAATGTCCTGAAGAACTTATATAGAAAACTTTTGTAGCGAGAGTAACGCAACTGTCACCTCTATGATGATTTCATTTCACTTATTGTAGTAAGCGGCCTTCAATTTCCGGATGTCCACAACTCTTTATTTTGTATGCAATATTCATGTTACGGTGGTCCCTCCCTATGTTCTTCTGACAAAAAATAATATAATTGAATACCGATAAAATAATAAGTATATCTCAATTTAATGAAAAGATACAGATTTTGTTACATGTTTACAAAGATTGTTACGTAGGGAATTAGAATCTGAACACATTCGTATTCAATTATTCAGATGCTCCTCATAAAATATTATATTAATACGTAAGGAATGTAGGTACTAAGTACCTAAATTTTGTTGTTGTTGTGGTTACCTATAGTTACTAATTATGTTTACTCTGTTTAGACTTTCATTACGTAATTGAACTGTTTTCGTCTCTAAATGCAACATAATAGACATATGAGAAGGCATAATACTGTGATTAGTTAATAAGTTTGAATATAAAATAATAAAAAATTGGTCATTATTAATTTCTATTTGCTTTATTTTATAAATTTGCAAAATGGATTACAATACTGCAAACAGTTGACGAAGTTTTGCATACTTTCGTTTGGCGTGACCGTTACTTTCAGGGATACAATAGGTAAAACCCTTTTGTCTTGTACTTAACCAATTCTCATAGTCTCACTAAACAGGTAGTGGTAGTACACAATGGTATCAATATTTGCATATTTTACAGTTTCAACGTGGAAATTGACAATAGATAATTTCTGCGAATTTGTATTGCATACTCGGTCCATTTTACACAAGATTACTTTATGCAGGGTGCAAAAATCAGTACCATAGTAACTTTTCTTCCAAAAAATATATTTGTTTTATTTTAGATATAAGAATAATAAAAGCCATAATAGTATCTACAGCTATGTGAAAGGTATATTATCAAATATTTATTTATTTTATTACAGTCCACCAACACATCAAGTTGGCATCCTGATTTTATTATAGTTGCCTTCTTCTTCAAACACTATTACCTATTTTTTAAATAATAACTTTTTAGTTCAATTCTAATTGCAGATATCTAGTTATATAAGCAGGTATGTTAGATAAGCAGGTAAGTATTTTATTGTAGCCATGTAATATTTAAAATAGTAGTCATATATCTACTAAAATAATGCCTAGGTGATCTGGATGTATTCTAGGTAAAAGTGATCTTAAATGCACGAAATTTTTATAGTAATCTGTCTGTAAAATGTATCTTTTAAATTAAAAATAAGCTTCAAATATATATATTGTAAAATTTGATTGACGAAATATTTGAAAAAATATATATTTTATCAACACAATGTTTGGTTCATAATTTTCAAGTTATTGTGTTATTTTTTAAATAAATATTTATATATCAGAAATTCTATTCTTATAGATTTATTGTACTTAGATATATGTACCTATATCAATTTATCAAAGTAAATACTTACTTAATAGTAATTAGCGCCATGTCTAGATCATGTCTAAATTTGATGAAATAAATTGATTTATGTATAACTATAACTACTTTTAAAAGAATTCATAAAGAATACTACTTCTTTATCAGCAACGGTGTATATATCATTCCTATCTTGCATTGCTCTGGGGTAGCCCTTCCCCTTCCCTGCCCTCAACAAGCTCCGCCCCTTAACAGGAGTCGTTTGTATGAATAGATAAATAGAAATTCGTCAATTGTCATCTGAGCTTTAAGCTGTTCACATCTCAGAACCAAATCTTATTTTCAAAATGTCATTGTGGACGCCGTACGCGTTAGAACCCGCTCTGGATTTGAGTAAAAAATCAATAAAGCGAGAACAAGAAACTCCACCAGCACTCGAAAGTCCGCCTTTGAGTACCGCATCACCTACATCTATGAACTTCGATTATAGGGAGTGCTCTATTTCACAAGTGCAGCAGTGTGTACCATTGAACCAGATTTCGCCATATTATGTGAACTATTCTCCACTACCGACCGTTTATGAAGGCAATGAAATACATCCAAACCCTGCCCTGTCACCACCAGTGTCAGTAGAATCCTTTGACGCAGAGTCACTATGTAATGATGTGGAATACTTGGAGTTTGAAAAAGATGCCATAAGAGCGATGGCCGAAAAGAATGGCGGAACATTATTGGGACATAATCCACGAATGCGAAGAGCTATACAAACTAATGAAGCAGTAGATGATACATATAGAAAACAGAGACAAAGAAACAACTTCGCTGCTAAACAGAGCAGAGATAGAAGAAAAATGAGGGAAGTCCGTTTGTCCTTACAAACGACGTATTTAAAGAAGAAAGTAACTGAACTACGAGCTAGGCTATCTGCCGGTGTTTGCTCGCGTTGTCACCAGGTTCGTGAATACTGATGTGATGAATCGAAGAGCTATAGTTTATAAGTCAATGGACTTTGTGACATTTTGTGACTTATGTACATTGAAATCCACTCGGTGCTAAATTTGATAAAGTTTCAAATTCTTACTCAATGATAAGTTATGCTAGTAATAGTACCTACATCTATTTTGTACGTCACTATTTTTCAGGAAAGACTAATCATATTTTAGTGATTATTATTCAAACAAGTTTGATAGTAACTTTTTCAAACCCTTTTTTTAGTGCTCTCTTATTAATTATAAACATTTACTGTAAAATTGTATTTTTAAATATAAGTATGATTTGAATTATATTTTATGTAATTTCGTGTATTCTCTAGTTACGTAAAATATTGGTTTATTACTAAAGTGTAGCATAGAACTAGTTATAGAGATACTTCGATTTTGTAAGAAGAATTTTATATTATATGTGCAATTAAATAGAAATATTATGATTATATTACTAACTGTGAAATAAAATTATAACTATTATTACAAATTCAATGCTCTTTCTTTTACCTTAGTTGACATTAAAATGTAATAAAATAAAAGTTTTTATTTATACTTATTTATGAAACGCTGAAAACTATGCAGGTTGTCCTAAGGGGAAAACAAATAGATTTTCACATGTATAATACAGTTTCTTATACTGTACTCCTAACTACATATTACTACTAAATATAGTAGCTTTGTATACAAGTATAGTAGTAATAACCACAAATATAAAAAATGGTAAAAATAGCTAGACTACAAAGTCGTCTCTGCTTCTTCTGCATGGATACTTCTATCTATCTCATTTCAGCATTCAAGTAGTGCTTTGATGCTGTGTATTTATGAGAGTGAGATATGGCAATGAACTTATAGCATTCGGAGGTCTTATCGTAGAACATTCATAACAACACAGAGGGATATACGCGCCTCACATGATGGCATGATGTGCTAGGTACATACATATATAGGCAACGGTTGCCACTTACCATCAGGTGTGTCGTCAGATTATTGGCCTTTCCAGTTACACAAAAAAAAGTTAACGGTACCACAGCAATGATGCTGGTAGTTTGTCTTTGAATAGATATTTCACAATTGTCCTGCTTTCCTTCGAGTAATAGCAATAAAAACCCCTTTTGTTTTGTTTCTATTGAATTTACAGTGTTACCATACGAGTTGCAAGGACACAATGTTATCAGTATTGGCATGTGTAAAGTAGGTCTGCGAGATTGAAAGTACAGTATTGCATTATCAATTTTAATTTTTCACAACACTGTCATAATTTGATATAATTTTGAATATATTTTATGAATAATAATATCTCAGGACAATTCACAAGACTAGAAGGCATCAGAGCTTCTATTAGGTATAGATACTAGAGAACTGATAGAAATACATATTTTTTTATAAATAAGTACATAATAGACATATAAAATACTCAGACCTATATAAACCATCATACTTATTAATACAAATGTTTGTTCCGCGTGAGGAATCGAAACTGCGACCATTAGAAGTAAGGCAGTATAATTAACCGCTAGACCACCGAGACTGTCAAATATTAATAATACTTGACTTTTTTCACAATCTGTCATAATTTATTTTATTATAGTTCGTTTTATATCACTTGAAATTATTAAATGAAGGCTAAGAGAGCGATGGGCGGATGGGTGGGCGGTACCGTAAACCCGCATTATGACTACGACATATTGCAGTTTTTATGACTTTTATTTCGTGTAATTTTTGACATTTTTGTATAAAATCATATTACATTTAGTTATTTAATAAATATTAATTACTTGCTGTCATTTTACACTTCTCACAGTAACTATGTATATCTATCTATTTAAGTAGATAGATATGCATAGGTATGCTACCGATATATTTTTATATGCATATAAATATTGTGGAAATTATAGGTTGTTTATAATTGCATTGTAATGTATTTCTTTTTTCCGTATACAATGCAATACGGAATTGCAAATGCAATTCCGATAATATATATATTTTTAAATTAGGTATATATGTAGAGTAGAGTAGGCACTCAACACTACATATATATTCAAGTGTTCTTTAGGTACTCATATTCTTTCATCTAAGTTAATGTTTTATTCGATAGAATTTTTGTTCATAAGTGGATCGATGCGTATTACATAATATAGGTAGGGAGGCATTGCGTTTATAGGGAGCGACCCCTTTCCCAACTCAATTAAATAGCTAACCCCCAAGCATTAGACATTCAGCTTTGGTAAATCGGAAAGGGGCGAATCGCGCGCATATATGGGCACTCTATACATATAATTTGTTTTCGTTTTCTCATCACGATATTTTCTATAAACCTCAAATTTGCAAATCCTTAAACAGCATTCTGGACAATTCATTTTGAAGAACTCCAGAAGTTATAGTGAAAATTGATATAAAATATTTAATTACCTAAATCGAGTTAATAAGTATATCATAATAAAAAAATATATATTGAATAGTAAAATATGGGAAATTTTTTATTTTAGTGTATTGAGAGACATTTGTTTCGTTACTTTTCTTTTCGTTTGTTTGTAATGGCAAATAAAATGATAATCGGATGGCAACTGTCAATTGTCGCCTATATAAGTACGTCTATATTAGTGACTGAACGATACGGTTATGGATGAAACAGAGTAACTTACATAGATGACTTTCCATAAAGTCTACCTAGTTAAAATGATTCGGTTTTTCAGTATTTTACGAAAAGTAGGTACTCATCCACAGGGGACAATGGGTTCAAACTGACAAAGTTGCACATTTGATATATTAACGTTAGTGTACCTACCTAAATGCGTGAATGTGTATATATGCACCACATCATATAAACATACAATATATAACCCACATGTAGGGTAATATGCAACCAATAACAGCATTGTGCAATGAATAGCTTTTGTTCACCATATGACTGTAGACAGGTAATATTGTTATCTCTCTTTCTCATATTATAAATAACACTTGACACGAGACAACGCATGTAAGTCTTATCAATATAAAGATAGGGTTACAGGTATGTGCCGTATTTAAAGTACAGTATAGTACTTAAATCTGCAAAATGGCATACATACACATGACACTAAAATCAGGGCTAATAGGTATCAGTGGTGGGGAGCGTCATGGAAGACTTCCTAGTTCGACTCATGTGTAGACTCTTCAGGTCAATTTCTTATATTTCTTTTTTCTGCTCTCCGAGCCGATTTTACACCTACCACGACTGCGCAAATATTTCCCCTGAGCTATATGTAGCACGGCCGTTTTAACGGACCAGATGTGATAAAAAATCTTGGATTTGATTTATACCTACATACATAATCAAGAAAACCTCTAAGTCCGTCCAGTGTAGGTAAATATAGATATCAACTGTATTATTATTTAGTGAATTATAATAATAGCCTTATCACCCAATACCTATTACCTATTATTATAACGCCTCATCTATAGTAGATATGTATATTCATGTATCCTCATATTCAAGAAAGTGAGTAAATTTGTTATGTATTTACACAAACAATATGTTTCTAATATTCCCACCAGTACTCGGGTGCCTATGTGCGGACTAATAAAAGCGAATGGTGCGGTGTGAATTGTCACTATATAAAGAAATATACAAATAATATACGTTAATAAATAAATTTGCTATCCTGAAACCCTATATTTTTAGTGTTGTACTTTCACGAAAATAAATTTTCATCGTTTACACAATTTTTGTATTCTGTATTGCACATTCAAATGTTCCATTAGATACCTATATCTATTTTGTACAAATAGCCTAAAAAAAGCCAAGAGACCATATGTGTCTATTGAACTGAAGTTTTTTTGAAGGACATTAGGAACCACCGTGACTTGAATATAGAAAGAGTTGTGGACATCCGGAAATTGAAGACCTCCATACAATGGGTGAAATAAAATCATCATTTCGGCGACAGTTGCGTTACCGCCGCTTCGGTGGTTTCTATGAAAGCCTTGCTGGACATACACTTCATTAATTATACTTCTACATTTTGCAATTTGGGAAATGTGTTTTTTTTTGTTACTTTCATTCAGAAATTATTCATAAATAGAAGCAACCAGGAGTAATAAGAAGGGATAAATAGATGACTATAATTTTAATAATTCTTTGTATTATAGTAGACTCGATCAAGGATAAATATATACCAACTTATGTAATGTATGTGTATGTATGCAATATTTTAGGAAGTATGTAGAAAAAGTTTAGAGCAAACTAGCAAAAATTCAGGGTCTCATTACGTCATGGTTTTATGTTTAGTTTCTATTGTTATTTACAACATATTTATATTAAAGTACTTACATAATGTTCTGAAATTGAATAAAAAAATACTTATTATTAGCAAAACAAAAGTTGTATTGCATATTTTTTTTAACTGTAATCTTTCAATAACCTCCGTTACATACGTGTAAGGGGACAATGTCTAACAAATATTGCAGGTGCTAATACCGTTTTACCACCTTACGGATTATCTACTGAAGCCTCGAAAAAAAGTTGCAGCTTTTAGACAGCTCATCTATCTACAAAACCAAGAATACACCTAATGCAACTGTAATAAGGTAGAAAACGTTGAAGCAAAATCTATACCTACGCAGATATGTTTGACGAGTTATTTCACAATACTAAAGGGATATAGATAATACGCGTTTTCTGTACTACATACATAACAACAATTGCTCATTTTGCAGAGTTCCTGTAATATTGGGATTGTATCAATTGTATTGGTTGTGAATACTTTCTTATAACTATAGGTAGGCGTTTGCTCTACAATCTAGAGAGAATGGTTAACTGGCAACAATCCGATGTGATAGGATAGAAGGCTTTTTGTAGGACTGTAGTGTAATGGAAGTAATAAACAACGGTTCACATAATGATAAAGTCACAAGTTGTAAAAATCAAAGAAAACTACAAATAAAAGCAATATTTTGTCTTTGTAGTTTAATTTAGATACATATATAGTTACTACCTACCTAATATTATGAATGCAAATGTGTACTTATTTGTTAAGCTTTTACACCTAAACCGTTGAATCGATTATGTATGATACATTTTGACAAAGGCAGATGTGAACCTAGAGACCTTTTACCTTGAAAATTAAAGGGGAAAACAGGGGATCTAAATTTATATGAGGAATTGAATAATTTCATAAGCGTTATAAGACAAATCGTAATTGAAATACAGACCTTACATAGTCAACTATGTAGGTACTATGAAGAGAATGTCGTGTTTATACATAAAAAGGCGTATTGCCAGTACTAATATCAAAAATGAAATCAATTATACTTCAAGAACTGCTTTGACTGATGAAACAAGTATGCAAACACAAAAAATATTTCAGAAGTTAAAATTATTTGGGCAATGTCTAAAAATAACAAACGCAACAGATTCTAAGTCTGTGAAGATTAGGAAATATTACGTGCATACATTTTGCTTGTTGTCCGGCCTAATGTTATTGTTAGGGATAATCGGTGACTGGTGATGCTGAAGTATCCCGTGGGACAGTGACAAGTTTGCATCTGCTATAACATAAGCAAATATTTTGACGTGGTTTAAGTGAGAAGCGTTTGGTTTTATAATTACTTTTGGTAGTTTTACATTTTATTTAATAAATTTTCTTCATTCAAAAACGGCAAAAATATTCTATTAGTACATGACTATATGATATTTAGATTTTTAAATTTGAATTTTATAAATAAAATAAAGACGCAGGTACACAAGACATAAGACTACCTAACCATTTTCTTAAGATCCAACATTTAAATCACATATACGTAGGTAAGTACTAAAAACGCAGGAACTGAATTCTTGCGTTTTTCGTATAGGATGAGCTAAGCAATTAAAAATAGGAGGAAGTTATATGTTAACTACTCGGTACTTACTTAATTTACTACTACATCGTTAGTCGTTATATCTATACTAGGTAATTGTTGTCACGATTGAAGCGGATTTTCGTTGAAACTTTAAGTTATAATTTGGTTACGAGTTACATATTTAATTTATCCGCATCCTAACCGCTTATGCCTTATGAACCTAAAATTCTGCTAAGACGCTGTACCTGCTCTTTTTGTGCGTTATAATCCGCTAATAGTGGGCATTGTCCACAGATGACGGACACACAGATTCAATTTGATTTTTTCTTTATGAATGATTCTAAATACAAAGACATATTAAAAAAAAAGTGGAATACACGGCCACAATGGGCAAGAGTTGAGCCATGAATGTATTGTACGTTCTTGGAAACGTCGTAAGTCAAATTTGTATTAAACTACTATAATGTGGAATAACATAACTTTATCAGTCGTTTGATTGTACATAGTTGGGCTGCCTATTGTAGTCTCTATTCATTTGCAGTCACAATAAATTTGACTCTATATAATTAGTAATAACAATTCTATTAAAAAAATAATTTGAAAATTTATTGATATTAATTTGCAACCATCTTGCAAATCTTTAGAAATTGTATGTGTGAGGTACCCTCACAGCTATGGTTATATCACTTTAGTGTGAGTTTAAGTAAAACCACGGGTAAAACTGAATAGCAAATTAATTTTGTCCCAGAAAAAGATAACACTTCATAACTACTTAATAGCTTGAATAATGTACTGTTTGTACCTACCTACTTATATTTATATGTACATGTAATTACGAATACGATAATTAAATGACTGAATTTGACACATATCATTAGAGACCTCTTACTACGACTCATGTTACTTTGTACCTACATATAGCAATTATGACGAACTAAAAGTTTCTTATTCTTTCTGTTTGATGTTTGATAATATGCTAATTCAAATGTTATCAAGTGGATTTGAATTAATTTACAATAATTGAGTAGACTCACATCTTAAATGGATGCAGTCCAGATGCACTTTTTGTTCTACTATATACTGAACATTCAGTTCAGTATATAGTAGAAACTTGCATAGACTGTAAACATTGCATTTAAAATTTTAAGTAAAACAACATTATACTTAAACTACATATATATAATTTCACTAATAATACAAATAACTAAAACATTACACCTTCTGTTTTACCACGTGGGAGAGATCATACTTGCCACGTACACATTTAAGTTTCACACCAGGACAGTCCTTCAGCCTAAAAATAAAAAAAAACTTAATAATACTACTATGTAATGCTGTTAATAATTCGCAATTGTAATTAATAATAACAATAATAATAATAATATTGCATTGCATGCATATCACTATGGACATCACATAATCAGGACACTTGTGAGATATGTGTGAGACACTGTTACCCACACAGTCAACATTTTCAACATTTCTATCTCTATAAGTTGCAAATTACAAGTTGTATGTTTTGCAATTGCAACTGTAAATTTTTCTACTCGATGGATTTATATTATTTTTATTATTTATTATATTATTTTTACCCATATCGCTATGGGTGTAGACTCAATAACGGTCGGAATTTGATCACCACTGAGAAGGTCGTAGCGCTGGTAAGGTTTCTACACTGAATATTCATAGTCTCACACATGTTAATTGTAGCGGAATTAGAAAGAAAGAAGAAGAAAGAAAGAAAAATATTTTATTCAGTGCAATGTAAAAATTAAACAAAATAATATAAATCCATTGAGTAGTGAAATGGACTTCCGCAAAATAACACCTAATTCAATTAAATATGTAAATTTTTCCACACATTATTGTAAAACTGTAGATTTTAATCTGGGCCAAACAGCTTTTTTGTAACTGGTATCATCAACATTAATTAAAATTTTATCTGCTTGTAGACAAAGTTTTATGTGACTTTAAAATATATGTTCTAGAATTGTCTCATACCTTCCAACCCTAACAAGTACAATATTGTGTTCTTGCAAGTTATGCCCGATGCCTGGAACATAGGCCACCATTTCTTTTCCATTGGACAAACGAACTAACACACATTTCCTGTTTGCTGAGTTTGGCTTCTTTGGTTTCTTGATTAAAGTTTTTAGTACCACACCCTGAAATAAGGTACAAGTTTAAGGTATATAAAAAAATCACATATTTTAGTATAATTATATACCAAAGAGTTACTTTATGCCATAATATGCAAATCAGAATATAAAACATGTCAAGAGTGTAAGTTTGCTGAAGGTCATATCTATCATATCTAAGATCTCTTTTAATTCTATTATTATACATAAATCATTTAACTGAAGCAATAAAATATAAAAATATTCTAATTGCGGACAATACTACAATTATTGTAAAATGTAAACATGCATTCTTACTTTATAGGAATTGAATTTAGAAGTATATACTAAAAAATTAATTGTGAATTTAGCATAGCAGTAATGAGTATATTATTACTAAGGCTATTATTGCCTAAAAAATAAAAAAAAAATGGGTATTCTTTTTAATAAGTAAATACTTATATTTTTTTAAATAACATTACTAACTATCATAGTAGTAGCATAGATATTAAGATGTGAATTTATAACTGTTTAAAATGATGTATAGTAATATTTACAAAAAAAACACCACTAAGCAAATAATAGTTTTTTAAACTGATTTGTTACCTTAGCAAAAGGATTTCCATTCAATGGATTTCTAGATTTCCTTTGTTTAATATGTGGTCCTGTCCTATGCATCTGGGCCAATGATGCCATAGTGCGAGCTAGAAGTCCCATCGGAGAGGTACACATTGTTTGGGTTATGTGTGAGGAAATATTGTTCAATACAGCAACTAAATTGGAAAAAAATATATAATTAATGCATACATTTTGCACGCAAACAATCATTTAATATGTTAAATTAAGTTCTTTATTTCTTTACATACAAAATATATATCTTAAATTTAGAGTCACAGGAAGTTATGAGAGACAAAATAAGTTCATTAGATAAGCAAAAATGTACAGTACACTCAAGTTTGATTTTTATTTTAATAATACTTTAATGTATCTATAATATATAATGAAGTAATTACCTTTGGGTTGTGTACAATGTGATTTGATTCCTAAAGATAAGAGCGTGATTCCTTTTCTTAAAAAATTCATTTTGAGTGAAATAAATAAAAATACTAGATTTATAAGGAATTATTGGATAATAACATTAAATTCAAGTAGAACATAACCTAAAATAACCAATTGAAATAATATTGTTCAACTGACATTTTATTGACATCGAGATTGACAGATTATTGATTAACATACATGGCTGCTTTCAGATAGCAGCTACATATTATCCGTTTAATTATAAAAACACTATGCTTTTACTACGTATAAATATTTATTACAGAAACAGATTAAAAACAAATTATTATTATGTGAATAAGTCACATATAAATAATCTATTTACTGTTGAATTGCCAAGTACATTAAATTTATTTTCAAATTATTCAGGTATTATTTCAGTAGATGGCGTTTACGCGAAGAATGTTGTCGATGTATAATGTTTTATTAAACCCACAGATGGCCCTGTACGGCACAATAATAAGTATGAATTTTAGTATGCGCTGTACTGTCTCATCGTTAAAATTAAATTATTACGCTATAATATTGTCGATAGGTACAGATATAACACTAGTGTTCTCAAGGTCTGAGGTTTCCTCTAGAGACTACATGAGGTTTTTCACTAAGGGTATATTGAGATTTCTTAAGGGTCGGCAAAGCACATGTCACACTTCTGGTGTTTCAGACGTCCGTAGGCTACTGTGACTATTAGATGGGATGTATGTTTGATTGCCACCATCGTCGTATAAGAAAAGTATAAGGATATAAGGCTTTTAAGAGTTTAGGCGAATTTTGGTAAAAAAGGCAAATATAGGGTGATGGCACCATGTCAGATCAACCTCCACAAGGTCTACCTTGGAACTGTCGTTATTAATTACTGGTTATTTCGCCATGTTTGGCTACCTGATCTGATTTCATGCTCATTCTATCATCTCCACTGGAGCTCCATCAAGGAGTACCTATACTGCAGGTAGATGCGCCAATAAATATTCATCTATTTAAAACAAGTTATATTGAATTTTGACTTTTAAGTGTAAGCGTGTCTATGAAAGTCTTTAATTTCTTTCAAATTACGTAGAGGGCGCAAACTTGAATGTTTCCATGAAACTTTTTTTATTATATTAGTTATAATTGTGTAGGTATATGACATATTCTTGAAATACTTAGATGTACATAGGGTCTCTTATTCTTGCGACAGGTGAATGAAAGAAAATAACAGGTACGGTAACTTTAATTTTATTTCTCATACATTCAGGATTAAATTATAAACTTCTGTCGTAATCTCTCCAAGTTTTATTGGGCCGCTTAGCGAATATTTGACTTTTACATTTATATTGGAATTTTACCATAATCCCAGAGAAGTCGGCTCGAGTGATTTTATGTTATAGATGCTTGAACAGTGTCTAAAATCGTTTATAATCCATTTTATGGATTCGAGTTCAGGGCCAAGGCCACCGAATATAGCTCTTGTTAAGTGTGTATACAATAATTTTATATTACATTCTGATATCACCCGGATTAAATATATAGGTTCGTAAACTGTATTTATTATTATTGGATATTTAATCAGAAAATAAATAATTGGTACACAACGCTGGAGGAATACTAGTATAGTATGATAAGACGCATCAGCAAGAGGTCAGATCAGTTAGTCCATTGTGACAAATTTACCACGAATTAACTACGGTGGTTTCCCCCGTAGAGGTCGACTTGATATAGTTCTTAGCCTAATAATAATTGTTATTTCATAATTCAGACTTTTAAATAAAACGTTATATTCAAAACTATATTAATTACTTAGTAGAGAGTAGTAGAGTTTATATTAATTTCGCAGATATATGGTTGATGGTGATGGCACCAGTACGACCTCAGACCGTAGTTTGCTGCATCCATTCCCACGCAGTGGGGCTCTGCTGGATTGGCACTGTAAATCGTTATGAACATACAAATATAAGTACAACACATATACATATATTTGGTCTTTATAGGGACCAAATAGTAGAAAGGTAGAGGAGAAATTTTAGTGAATTGTAGTGTGTACTTCAAATATATTCCTACTGGAAAAATCAAATTACCACTTTGGTCTAACCTAACTTAATAATTCTTCGTAGTGAAGAAAGTGGTAATTCACAAAAAAACCATAAGACTATATAATGAAATAAATAACCATTTAAAATGGAATTATTACATCTTTTGTAGTTATTGCTAGTATAGATACGGACATCACAATGTCACCTGATGCTTTCATACATTGTCGATCTTAAAAGTACTTAACACATACCTGAATATTAGTCCATTTTGTCCTGCCCAAGTGTGAAAACCAGTATCCTCGATGTTCTCACCTGTAAAGGTGATGTTATTAGTAACCTATAAAAGTTTAATATACAGACATCTAAAATAATATTATTAAGACGAAAGATAAGACTTTTGTTTATGGATTAAATAAAAAAACTTCACCGAATTAAAAAAAACACAATAATATCAATAATATAGTAGAGATCCTTATAATAATTGCTAGTTATCATAGAAAGGTTTTCCTTAATTTTTATTTATCAAGCTGGAATTAGTAAACAATGCTTTGATCGGATAGTTCAAAGAAATATGTTAGTAATTTATCAGAGAAACATATTGCAATCAAATCAAGACTTACCATCGACGTTCGTCCAAGTTGTGTGGTTATCGATATGGTATATTCCAAGCCAAACAAGTAATTTGTATCGGCTACCGATTATATCCGGATACTTCATAGATCGTACAATTTTTTGTATGAATCTAAACTCCGCCTGGAAATAAAAACATACTCTTAACGCAAAACACTATTAAGTATTACTATTAAGTAAAAATTACAAGTGCGTACAGGCTTATAATATAAAAATATTTATAACCGATTTAAAAAAAGGGTTCTCTTAGTTCGTACTGTATTTTACACTTAACTTTTTTGAACTGAATAGATACATAATTATTTAACTTGAGATAATTTAGACAATAAATATATAAAGAAATTGTCTTGAGTTACGTTTTAAAATAACATCAAATTAAAAAACTTAAAAAAAAAATATTCAAGAGGTTTATAGATTCAGAGTAAATGATATGAAATGAATTTAAATAAGCTGTCTAGAAATATGGCATGTCATACATATATTAGTTACCAAAGCAGAATGTATCTCCTGGAACAAACAGCACAGCGAATGTTTAAATTTATTAAAGGAAGTTTCAATTTATCTCTGGGGATTTTATTGAACAATTTAATGCTCATTCCCATAAAATACCTATTAACTTTTTCCAAACGGTATCTACCTACTTGAAACAATGAGTTTGTATGTAGCAGAGTTCTTTATAGTATCGTGTTTTATTTATATCTTATACAATGTGCATCTATTTACTTTTATTTGTACTTTTACGCTATTTGGGCGGCGTTATTATAATATTTGTCTTTTTTAAAGAGGCTTTATTATTAGGATTATCAGCTCCGTTGTATCCTGAGATCAAATTTCGAACTAATTATCTCACTTTTCTGTGTGTGGCTACAGAATGAGAGGAATTAATGGGTGTCAATAATTTTGATGTATTAAAGTTTATAGTATCTAATTGTAGTAACATTAATGAGTTTGAGATTTATACAGAGATCTAGAGTCGAAAATAGACAGTGATAGTGTTTAACAGTGTGTGTAGTGAATAGTTTATGATCGATGGCTGAATAAAAGATATTTTTTTTATATGACTGGAATAACCATTGTGTTGACGACCTTTTTTGCATTTTCGTATGACTGTTATATCTCAATCATAATAAATCCTAAAAACTTCTTAGAATGCAAACTGCTTGTAACTCAAGTAGTTTACTGCAGGCACCTACATTACATAACGTCATACAAACTCCATTTTGGAAGATAAAATAAAAAAAAGCCATATAATTAGATAAAATAAATACCTCAGATTTGGGCACTGATAACTTAGCACCAATTTCGGTACATTTGTCCTTAGCACGTGTCCAGGGTTCAGCTGTATAAATTAACTTGTATCCATGACCATCTATTTCGTTTGTGATGTATTCTGTAAAAGTTTAAGCGATGCAGTAATTCAGTAATGAAACCTCATTAAAATATATTTTTTAAATATTTATATCTACGTCTTACGATTATGTATGTTTTGTAATTCTGACTAAAAACTGCAATTTCCATACCTTGTCGTATAATAGGTGTAGCTAATGACGTGTTGCCGTGGCAAAACGGTTTAAATTTAAATTATTCTAACATTTTAATTGTCAAAATAAATTCGTTGTATTGTATGTAAATACTTACAGTACATTATTGAGGTAATTACATAATTAAATTTATCCCATAAGGTACACAACTTAAATATACAAATCAACTAGTGAACTATGTAGGTATTTTTATAATAAGATGGAACGTTCTGGAACGTTCTGCGTGGAGTCGAAAATGACCCTATTGCTGGTTATGTGCTATACACATCTAGAAATAGGACTAATAATTGGAACTAACCAATTATTAACGCAACATTCAAATAAATACGTTTTCATACGTTTCGTTGAAAAATATGCAAGAGGAAGAAGAATATACGAGATAGTATATTTCACTACTGTTTCTAATTAACAAGTAACAGATCACAACCGATGCTGTATTAGGTAAAGCAGTGCCAATTAAATTGTAAATAACTTATAATTACTCTTTATTATGGACAGATAACGAACCGCAAAGTACTAAAAATGTATTAATTTTTTTAATAAGTGCGTTATAAAAGGGTGTATTTTCGCTATATCATCTTGTAGATTTCCGATTTTACTTTAATATTTTTCAAATAAGAAATGTTAGCAATCTATAACTTGTACAAAAATACATATATAGAAAGTATAATAAATATTTGGTAGTATCAAAGGACGTGAAATTTATTATATCCATGTCACAGATAAACAATAGTTATCCACATCGTATATTTTTAGGAAGAGACAAATACATAGAATGTCTTGATCTTATCTTGATATATGTATATGTTCTTTGGTTCTTATTTCTGCGTCTTTGTATGGCTACCAAATTTTTGCAAGGTAAATGAACTTATTCTAAAGGCCACTACCAAAAACAAAGGCTTGTTATTCTAGTTGAGCTTATATTAATACATAGATAATATTGACATGATACATACCCTCTGGGGATTCGCTTCTGGCATATGTAATAAAAATGAATACTGAAAATATCATATAGAACCTGAAAATGAAATAATTAAAATTAGCACAATTTTATACCTTTTTTATATACGTAATATTTTATATAATTATTATTTAGGCATACTTACATTACTTACAAGTTACAACAACTAGTAAATAAATAATTTTCAATCAATATACATATATATATATACCTACGTAATATCTTATTATTTATATCTTAATATGTATTATATAAATATTTAGGTATTACGACATGAGAAATGGTACTTTGTTTATTTTGATATACAAATAGATATATAGATGACTATCTATCTATTAAAGTTTTATGATACAAATCCGATATTATGGTAGAAATAAAGAGACTCACTATACAATTTCGTGATACTAAAAAACTTATACTTTAATATAGAATAGAAGATGTAAAATTCACTTATAGATGAAGACATAATATACTCACCTCATATTTTGTGAACACTGTGATAATATGACTGAGAAAGACTATTTTAATACAACGTAAACAAGACGTATGGTACGTTTAGAAAGTGCCAATGCCTGCCGCAGAATGAAGAAATGGATGCCATCAATGAATAATGACAGTGACAATGTCCACATGGAATAATTTACCTACGATAGGATAATTAATACCGTTGTTTTTATCTACTATAATAAATTAGTGTCACGGTCACATAAATAAATGCCAATGGTATAAATGTATGTTTACTAATTGTAAGTGGGCGTTACAGTTATGAACAATTTTTATTTGTTCAAAATCATCTTTCTTCAACTGATTTGAAAAAATAAATTGTTTACAATTTTACTGTTTTGGTCACATATTTTTGTCAGATTGTATTTGTTATTGTTTTTTGTATTTTACAATTATTTTTATTATTATTATTTATTTTAAATTACGGCAATATATGTTTTTAAATTACGTTAAGTGTTTACTATAATTACTACTCATTGTTTATTCTTTGTTCAAGATATAAAAGCAAAAAAAACTTAAACAACGAGGAAATGGATGGATGCAGGTATGTAACGGAACAAACTGACCTTTATTCAGACAAGATGGTACCTATATTGTACGAGGGAGAAATAAAATCAGTCAAGCCATATTGTATATATATATATAGAGTTTATTTTATTTAATTGCTTAACCTTCCATTCTATAACTATATAATTCTTTCTATCATGAAGGTATCTTTAAAATGAATTTTTTTAATTCCAGAAAGTAACAGTTTTCTTAACTAAAAATAGAAGTATATTCTTAAATAAACCTTGTTTATTTTATCAACGTAACATTTTCCAGCAGCTGTTTAATCTAATGAAGTTTTAGTTTAGTTTTTGCGCTGCTTATTTAAATAATTCAGAATTCTAAAAATTCGACTTTCGTTATATTCTCTCAACAAGATATTTGACAACGACTTATGTTTAATAATAATTTAAGTTTTCTTAACATCTGAGAAGTTAGAGGCCGTCTATTTGTCCTCACTACGCGACACTAACTCATTTATCAGACACATGCATGACGAATATAATGATTCATACGTTCCTTTAACACTTTACGGTGAAAGGAAACAAAAGAAAAAATCAAAAGATTAAGAAAAATAATTTATAACATACGAGTATTATACTGATAATTATTAATACTTATCACATGTTACGTAATCTATCTAATACCAAAGTATCTCAATTATAGTACATAATTCACACCATAGTCCAGTACTCCATGTAGTTATCACTTCTTTGGGGACAGGGTCAGTAACACCTGACTCATTTAAATTAATGAGTTAGGTGTTACTTTACAGTGGCAATTACTCCAATTATATAATGGGTCAAATCTATGTAAAATGAACTCCTTCATTATTGTACAGAGTATCGATATCTCGTTAACGCTCACTATCTCTACTTCAGGACGCTATGGGTCTATAGATGTTGTTCATTAATTAAGAAGTAGCTCCTTGGGAAGAGGTCATAGCCTAGTAGTTACTACTTCAACTTACTCCTAATGGCCATAAAATTAAATCTGGATTACACAAAAAAATCTTTACGTGTCAATTAAAGTAAAATTACACAGTACGAAAGCGCAATAAAATTAGTCCTCAGTATGGCAAAACATGAGAAATACTTTATTATTTGATGAGGTCCTCAGCTATTGTACCATTCTATGGTTATGCTACACCGCAATTGATATCTGATCTGTGCAAGTATATGACGGTACCAAGACACCATCCGTGCAACAATGTGTGGACGATTTTCCACACGTGATCGCATTCCAAAGAGACAACGTTGAAGCACCATATGCAAACCTAAGCGTCACCTAACAAAACTATATGATATGTATGTATATGAGCTCTTATCTTCTATATTATTTATGACTCATATTGTATTAACTATGTCCTGTGCGTCATCTGTGTGAATTTGGGAAGGGATATTTTGTGTAAATTAATGATATGGTCGATGTTCCAAATTTTATTAGAGTCCGTTCAAAAACATATCTTTGCTCACAAACTTTCTGAGTTTACAATATCAATACGATATACCTACCTCATATTTTATGTTGAATTAGATACAACAGTCCAGTATGTGTAATATACATATATAATTGTAATTTACATATAACAATATCGTAACTTAAACTTAAAAATAAACGTGTAATAATTATATGTATTAAGAGATTGTTTTATTTATACGTATCGTTACGAAAAATAAATATTTCAGCCATAAGCGTAAAAACCATGTCCAGCGCCATGGCCCCCAAAGAAGAGGCCTGTTCCAAATCCACCGTAAAACGATCTAAATCTATTCATTTGTTCCTCCTCGTCGTTTTTCATCATCTCCATTTGTGTTTGGTATTGACTCAGTTTCCTTTCCTCATGCACTTGTTTGTGTAGAGGTATCACAGTCAAATCATGCAACGGTATCACGTGATTCGGGTATGATACCGGGACCAATATCGGTATCACAGCTGTTTGGTGAGTTACGTTGGATGAACTGTGAGATAAAGTGTGAGTTATAATGGGTATCTTTACATTATCGTGTGTTACAACATGCTTTATGTCAGTGTGGACAGAGCTATGATGAACGTTTGAATGCGCGGGTAGCACGTGTAGTTGTGACGGTACAAGAAGGTGATGTATTAAGGGAAGAGAGTAAGGAATACTTGGACCCTTCTTCTTTCTTGCAGTTGTCAACATCGCAACTTTGTGTGAATGTAGTAGAGGAGCTAAAACCGGTGATATTTTATTATCTTCATGTTCTGATACTGATATTGGTAAAGAATTTATATTCGGCATGCGAGACTGATGTACGTTTATGACTTCCTGAAGTTGAACTATGAGAATCAAAAATGATAGCTTTTTCATCTGTAAAAGAAATAGGAATATCTATAATAAATTGGTTACATACAGAATTTAATAAAATGATAGATTTTAAATGAATATTCTTAAACTACGTAAAATAAAGGTTCAATCATTGATCATCATTGAATCAGTGATCCAAAATGTATACCAGTATATCAATAGGTAATATTTAATCAAATCGTCAGATCTTAATATTTAATTAATTAGGTTAAGGTTAGGACGGCCTCGGTGGTCTAGTAGCATATTACTTTCCTTTCGATGGTCGCGGACTTGATTCCTCGCACAGTAAAAACATTTGTATTCATGAGCAAGTTTATTTGTTTTGGTCTGGGTTTTTCTATATATATTTACAGAAACAATGATTTACTCTGTCAGTCTTCTAGTACCTATAACATAAACTCTGCTTAGTTGTGAACTAGACGGCGCTATTTTTAGGTTACTATTATAAAAAAATACTTTTTTTATTATCCTAATATACGGAGCTAACTAGAGCAAATTAGTACTAAATACACTTATAAAAAGCCTACGTATGCCGCCACCTAGGCTTTCGATGAGTATACAGAGTATGCGACCGATGTCGTACGTATTATAAATGTGTAAAAAGCTTTCCGGAAGAAATTTTCGATGTGATAATGAAAATCGTGTCAAAATCCATAGAGGGATTTTGAATAACTATGCCAGTAAACAATTGAAAACAACGACAATGCTTTATACTATTTATAGATGTACGCCTACGTATATAATTAAGGTAGATTAGAGTGTAAAGGTAGTAGTTATGTGAAATAAGATCACAAACCACAACGATGCTTCGAAACCTTTTCCGAGCATCGTATATCACATCAAAGAGACAAAAGAATTGAGCTTAGTCACAAGACATGAGGGGCTTCGGTACAGATCTTATTAGTCGGAGGGATTAATCCTTTGAATTAACGGTCCTCGTCGTGGGAGCAGGTTCATTGAAACAAATGTAGTATTTGCTGTAGTCAGTGTTCTAGTTCTATGATTTTTATGAGTAAAATGTCGCATTATTTTAATACAATAACGAAATTTTATTATTTAAAATTGCTGATTTATTTTTAAATGTATAACGCAAATATTGGTATTTTATGATTTAAAAATGCAACGAAGTGATTTTTTTAAAATATGTATGTAATTATAAATACTTACATGTTTAATTGCGACACGAATTAAGAGTATAGTATATCTTTTTTTTACTATAACGGCTAATCCTCTCGGGAGACATAACTAAATAGTAAAGAACTAAAGTTGGCAAAGGGATTCTGCTTTCAGGATTCATATTATTTATAATTGGTATTATACAGTTTATATTTTCTGCATTGTTTCACATACTCTGTCAGTTTGTAATGACAGCTGTTTTACGATGTGTTAATATGGTTCCTAATTGTGTTCTCAAAAGAATTAAAAAGGTCATTAAATCTTTTGGAGTGTTCTTAATACTTGTAAATAACATTTTATTTCATATACAGTCGTATAATGATCTCATTTAGAATTATCGGTTTCCTTTTATATATATTGTTATCTTAGATTCTTTATTAACAGTCTATTATAAAACGCTCAATAAAATTTATTCGCACAAGTGAACTAGTTTTTATGCAAAATTTGTATTTTATATAGTTATAAACAGGAGACAGATGTTCCATTATTTAAGTTTAGTAAATGCGACAGATTTTGTCTAAAAGTTTTGCCAACTATAATTCAACAACTGTTTGCATTATTTATGAAATAGTACCCTTTTACATTTGATATTAGACTTTTTTAAAGATAGTCAATTCTTTCAAAATAACTTATTTAATTTTTATAAAGTATATATAATGACGGCCTAGGTAGCCTAGCAGTTTAGCACATCGCCTTACTTCGCGTCGCGTCGCGGCTTCAATTCCTCGCATGGCACCAACATTTGTATTTATGAGTATGATTGTTTTTATCGGTCTGGATATTTTTTATATACAATATAGATTATAGTATTGAAGAAAAAAAATATATATCTATGTATTTGTATCAGTAATCTAGTACCCATAATATATGCTTTAGCTAGCTTTATTTAACTCTAGATGGCGCTGTGTAAATTGTCTTGTGATTATTACTATTATTATAAACAAAATAGAATATATTTAAAAAAAATATATTTTATAATAGGACCAGTAGTTAAACATATTGAATTGTAAAATAGTTGGTGTAATAATAATGGGCTTACAATACCTATCGTATTAGAATGTCCTTATTATGGATGTTTGTTGCAATCAGAACGTAATTTTATAATAACTGAAAATATATCTAATGTTTTCATTTTGAAACTTTTACGTTTGTTATGTATCTATGAAGTAAGGTTTATTTATGCAATTTTTTAACTACAACTGATTAAAATCTTTTGATTATCTGGGATAAGAAGTCATGTGAGAATACAAAATACCGGTATAATAAGTTCACATGAAAGTACCTAATGGCAGGAAATAAATAAAGAAATTTCACATTTATAATGTTAGTAGGAATAACCTTTTATATCAGAATAGCTATTTTGTAGAAATGGAGAACTCGTTTACTACGTGAAAATGTGCTCATCATTTCCCAGATAAGTTGACAAGCGGTTGTCACATATTCCCTGGGGTTCTGATTATGTCTGACGGTTCATGTCGCAGGTATAAAATTTTCTGTCAAGGGACCTTAGAGAATTTATGATATACAAAAAGGAAGACTAATTGGCGCGCCCGCGTGGGTCATCTGAAAATGGATTTAAATTACGGGAGCAAATACATACTCTACAATAATATTACAATTTTTATTATTTTATTTAACTAAATCTGCTCGAAGAATGCATGCATATATGAACATGCATTCTTAGACTATTAATAACAATAAACAATTGACTATTAATAGAGCCAAAAAAACGGATTTTTTTGGGGTTTTAAAAGAAAAAAGTTTAATTTGCGTTAATTTTTGTTAAAGCTACAGTATACTGTCTTGTTCATTCAATCTAAAATAAAGTTTGCTTGTTGGTCTATTGCATTGCAGTAAAGCTAACTTATTGCAAAAAGACGTTTTTGTGGAGGTCCCAACACACTGGTAAATGCTATTGGATAGAATAGGGAAGTTAATGTAGATTCGCAAAAAAAGTTATCTATAAATATTTAGAATTACGGATATTTTTTACAATATTACATGCGCATACAAATACAAATGAAATGATTTAGAACAATCCCTGCACTTCAATCCATATTTAGAACGCCATATTTTTTATAACTCATACATTATCATAGCTCTTAAATATTTTTAAATTTATTTTGGGTTATTATATTTATTATTCTTTTGACTTATGCTTCATTTTGGGTACCCGCAACGCCAATTGCGGTTAATTGTGGCTAATTGGAAGTACGTTGCTGACATTTAAAAAAGGAATAAGTTCTTTTCTTGTAGTTTACAATCGTATCGGTTCGGAAATACCATTACTGGAAGGTGATTCCACAATGTGGTTGTACGTGCCAAAAAGTTTCTGGAAAAACGTACGATACCGTCATTAATCCAGATGATCTGGCCGGTAGTGCGATGGTAAAATTCAGCAGTGAGATTCAGCAATACAAACAGTTCCTCAGAACGACTACAAGTTAGAACGTTATACTACGACTTCAAATATACCTGAAGAAGTAGTAAACTTGTGAGCTTTTTGTTCTATTAGTCTAAATCCAGCTCGAGAGGAATCTTATATATTAAACTTGCACAGAACAAACCACGGGCCTTAACCTTTCCCTAGTGAATATTGAAGTAAGCACCGTAAATATTAATTAGTTGATTTTGTTATTCAGGTAAGCATATCTTGTCTTTGAACATGACTTTAGTTCAAAATTTTAAGCATACGTGTAATACTGGATATAATATGATTATGAAAATATATAGTTATAATATATTTATTATAAATCTGAACCGAATGGAGCCATGACTGATTTATTTCGTTACTTAAGTATATGTATACATACTGATCGTGAACCTTAAAAAATTATAAATTAATGCCATTGCCTTCATTTCATTCACGTACAAATTTGCTAATCTACTTTAGTAGAGAAGAACTGGCAAGAAACTTAAGTATAAGAATAACGCAAAAGGCCTTGATACAATTTTGGAATAATCTTTAGTATCAGGCAATGATTTCTATGTATATTAAGTGTCCATGTATTTCTCCGCGTATATAGCTTAGCATTCGATGACGCTGTGTGAATTGTCTGGTTATTAAAAGAAAGAAAATTAATGGCAACCGATGAAAGTTATTGTTATTAAAATAAGTTGTGTTCAGGGAACTTAAACTCTAACTAAAACTTCTCAAATACAGTAACTTTCCAACTGTTATGTTTCTTGTAACTTTTTAAATAAATCATTATACTACTTAATGGATAATATTTAAAGAATTTATACATATGGTTCTCTCTTTTTTTATAAATTTAATTTGTACGAATAAATGTGTGTAATTTAATTTTATGGTACCTTACCTTGTTAATCATATTAATGATGATCACAGAATTAATAAATAAAAATACAAATTAAAATTATACGCCTATACTCTCTCCGAAACATAGTATCACATTATTTTCATACATGTAAAATATTTGAAATTTTTTAAATATTTTATCAACTACTGGCACGGTCAACTTGTCTCTATAAACTGTGTTTGTGATTTGGGTTCAAGTTGTTGGCGCGTGTGGTTTACTGGTAGGTACGAAGGCTATGAAATCGGCGATTAATCCGCTATAAGATTTATAGTAGTTATTTCATTATTTACTTGAGATTTCGTTAGTGAATGTTGTTGCCATCTATTTAAAAAAAAACTGTATAGCTTGTATGATAACTTTTCTATTTGACAATAGATATTAGCAATCAATTAAATAATAAAAGATTATTACTTGGACTGCATTGTTGGTAAAAGGTGACTTATGTACGTATATTGCGAGATGTTTTCAAGAATTGCAAAATTTTATGGTATATATTTTCCAAATTTTATACGACATAATATATTATTTAAAATTTTATTCTATGACGACCAAATATTTCTGTAATATTTCGATAAATAGATAAAATATATTTTTTATTTATTTGATTTAGAATGATACCTTACATTATTTATTAGGTTAGATGAACATTTTGGATATTTAGTGGCTGCGCAGAGGTGTGTATGCAAGTTACATGCAAGTAGCGTATCAGAGAAAGGCCAGGGATTGTATGTCTATCCTTCAAGGACAATAAGCTGTATCCGATTTGAATATCAATATGCTCTCTTATGAAGCATTGCTTTATACTAAAAGTAGATATATTACTTGTTCGTATACGAATTAATGTACGTGATCTTTATTTATAGCTTTCTGAGTTCAACGGAACCTAACTGATACAAAGTGACAAATGATACCTATAATGTATAAATATGCTCTTTAATGTTTAGAGCACCACGGAATTTGAAAAATAATAATTTCATTAAAATGTCTGAATAATTTATTACTTTTTTATTAGCGCATTTTTTATATTTTGATGTTCCATCTATTTATTATATTGTTTTATTTATATTAAAAAGTAAACATTTATGAGGCTCTTTGGAACTTTTACTTTTGTGATAGTTACAGTTATCAAGTAGTAGTTTTAATACAATTAACTAAGGGCAAAACGAGGAACGTTTATTTGAATAGGTTTATGGACTTTTTTACATGTTTTATATACTACTAACTACGCATGTACACCCGTGCATATATATATATAAAGATTTAAGCATACATAGGGACAGACAGCGACAGCGACTTTATTTTATACTATGTAATTATGTAATATATAGCAAGTACACTTGTGTAACTGTAAGATAACTATATTGTTTTTACTTATTGTTTCCTATTGTGATTTTAATTCTTTTTTTAAAGTAAGTAGTTTATATTGAGGTTGTATTTTGTTTTTTATTTAGTTTACGGCTGCAGTATAAGAAATTCTCTGATCTGTCTAACAGTTAATATGAATGTCTGTGTTTTTTATAAATTGATAACTCTCCTAATAATCCTCTCCTAGTAATTGAAAAATGATGTTGTTAATGGAAAATAATTTAAATTCTCACAGATCAAAACCAACGAACCTTAAAACCTACATAGCTAGTCAAAAAACCTAATCGGACGAAGAAAGGCGAGGTCGAGTAGAGTTGAAAGGAAGGCCACTCGATTTACATATGCGTAAAATTAACATAGAGCTGATTCTGCGGGGATACACGGTTCTGCTTCGAGGTGGAACAAAAGGTTCGCTGGGCGCAACGAAGGGTTAGCTGCCACAGTTACAGAGCATCTGGTATTTTAATAGAACACCTACAGTGATATATTACCTTGCAATAATATACATAGGTATTTCAATAAACACAATTGAATAGTTAGCGACTTAAATGAACGAGCTATTTATATATTTATATGAACGAGCTATTTTATATTTAAAATGAGATATGATAGTAAAAAGATATCATGCCTCTGTACCCTATATTTATACCACCACGTCTCTCTTCCTTTAAATCGATATACAGCCTAAAAAGCAGCATGTTTGGCATCAGAAATATCATGTAGACGAATTGTTTCTACCTTGGTTAAATTAATAATACTAGTCTCTGGAAGCTAGCAATCCGCCCCGGCTTCTCACGAACCCAATATTTGTGTTACTTCTTTTATTAAAACTTCGTTGAAATCAAATGTCGTGGAGGATAATTTTGTTCAATTTTAAATGCTATAAGCATTTAATATATATACATATATATTATTTAATTAGATAAGGGTTCATATCTAGTTTATAACAACATCTTACAAAATAATGCATTATTATAGAAGAATATTGATTACCAGAATATTGGATTATAGTGAGATAAGCTCAAAAGATAGATAACCCATATGTTGTAGAGGACTTTTTTAGAACTTATAAAAGAGAATAATTCCGTCATACATATTTTTAGCGTAAGTTTAACCGTTTAGGCAGCGCACGCAGCGGAAGTACTCAAAATGAATATTTTTTGCCACATATATTGCTGTCTTTGCTTTTATTGATCATAGCGTAATGTTAGATAACCTATAGACTATCTAACATCACGCTATTGGGTACTTGGGGATAATATATATTTTTAAAATTTTATTACCCTAAAATTACTCCGAAAAAACAAACGTATAAATTTTACCACTTTATAATATTAGTAGTAATGCAATAATTACGTACCTCTAACCTAATTATTTTGTATTTAGAATAGTATTTTTCTAAACCGACAATGGCTATCCGAATTTGCTAATGTTTATTTTAATCAAGGTGAAAGTTTGTCTGACTGTGGCCGAATTAAATGAGGTAAGGTCAGCAAACATTGAAATAACAAACGATCCTTTCTTAATTAAGCTAAGCATAGTAAATATATGTGACATGTTTTGGTATAAACTGGTGTACATATTGTGTTCACGCTATTGTTGTAACCGGCAAGGGTCCCACACAATTAGCATTAAAATGATATTATAATCACATCTCGACCTTTAAGACTCCGTTCAGATGGTATTGAATTTTAGTTTAGAACAAAATAGTTGGGAAAATTGGTTCATTATTTATCATGTAGAGAGAAGTAAATATGCTTCGTAATAAAACCTGATATTATCTGCTATGTACATTATTATACAGCTATATTATGCTATTAGCTATATTATGTTATTAACAATACTAAGTCAAGTTCGTTGGAACATCTGAGTAGGGCGTAAGTCAACTATTACATAACTGAAGCCTTTCTATTGTTTAAGTATTGTATCCAAAGAACTTGCTATCAGTATATTGTTAGTTCATAATGTTCTCTAAAAACTACTACAGCGATTCTACTGAATGGAAGAAATAACAATAAAATATAGGTTAGAAATCTGAAGTTAGTGATATAAACGTGTAAAAAGTAATGCTGATTTATGTCACTCTACTGTAGATTGTAATTAATTGATTTCTATCATATTGATTAATATCAATCCCAACGGTACCTAATAATGAATACCATTCCAAAAAGAAGGCTTTGATTAGATTAAATAATTAGTAATTATTGTAATGTTGAAATTTAAATTCAACTAATTTTAACATATTAGGTAATTAATAGTTCTTAATACTGAATGGTTATATTTAAATAAATTTAATTTAAAATTTGGAGTACATCTCTACATCATTGAAAGCAGCGCATATTACACTTACGAAGGAGAAAGGGAGTTCATGTAATTGTAACGTTTGTAGATAAATTGAAGATGTGGTTGAATTGATGGGATAATAATTTAGGAGGTTGAAGGAAACATTAGATACTTTTTATAGCTTTATTTTTGTGTAAATTGTGTTATTATTTTAATTATAATATTCTTTTTCACTATCTTCATGTATGTTTTATTTCACATTAGGTCTGAAAAGGCTATAATGGGTGCTGATAGTTATTAGATAAACACTGACTTACTTACTAACATTTTATGACATAGAACCTATAACAAAAATCAGATTAGACGGGTTGTGTAAACGTAATTGGTGTAAAATACGTTACTATTTCGCTACATGCCAGGCGTTCTATAGGCTCTCCCTATCATTGCTCTGGTATTGTCCTGTTTTTATGTATATGTAGTGAGTTTAAAGCAAATTTATTCCTATGTACCTAACCCTACTCATTATTATTGGCAATTATCTGTAATGCAATTATTATATTATGTATTAATTAAAACAAATTTTATGACAAAATAGGGAACAATAATGGACAATAGACGCAATTCCCAATTTTATATCTACGAGCGTTGCCTTATCTTAAATTAGAGGTCAAACCTCTATCCGGGTTCAGAGAAACCGATCCCTAGGGCCTTTGTTTCGTCCTGTGCCTCCGTCTATTGCTCCTATCACATATTTATAGAGCATATTCCTGATTATCCTTACACGATATGTTATATTATTATCTGCCGTGGAAAAGCATTGTTAGCAATATGGACTATTAGCCCCATTGCTTTGTATGAACAGTGGCAGGTCGAATTCCTTGTGATCCTTATTTAGAAAGAAATTATCGCAGTGACTATTTCTTTAATACAGTACATATGTCAAAGTATATTGGCTACATTTTATTTGAGATATTGTATAATAGCTATTAAGAAGCAGTATAATATACGAATACAAAAGCTATGCAGGTACTTAGTATACTGCTATAAACCTACATAACCCATCTTTACTCATACTCGTATTTCTGTTTCCAAATTTTGATGCCTAAACGGCTGGTAAATCAATCTTAATATTTGACGTGAAGATAGATTGTCAAGAAGACTGATATAGGTTAATTTTTATATGAAGAAAGTCGTGAAAGCAAACAAAGTCGTGGGTGATAGCTAATATTGATATGTGGCACTGGCAATATAATAAATATATAATGTCATTGGAAAAATTGAAAATTTCATTTATTGCTTTTATTGCCTTTCCATTATGTGGAAAGTATTTTATGTAGAGAATGAAACCATTCACGCGTTTATACAGCGTGCGTCAGTGCTTTTCTTGGCTTCGACCAAGCTTAAAATTCAATATCAATGTAAATATTTTGGACACAATAGTGGATCGGATAAAAATATATAGTTATTTCAGATAATACGTACCTACGTACTGGTGATACTATACAATATTACTGTAGGTACATTATTTGTGAAAAAGCTTCGCTTTTCTACAACCTTTTAAAAGCAGCGTGTTCTTAATCCAGGATATTGTTATCTATATTTCGTAAAAAAAATTCGATTACTATTTTTAATTGTGTAAATTCATTTCTCCAATATTTATTCCATATTAATCTTTTATAGATAGCTGAAATGCTCGGCAGCCTCAAGTCGAGCATCTGGTCAAATAGGCCTGTTTAGGCTGTATATGGGTATTCCGTTGCCATATAATTATAAAAAGAAAATATGATTATTCTTGAATAAAAATATGGTGGGAAATACACCGAAATTATATTGTTAAATAAAGTATTTTTATTCCATCAACCTCGGACTTATTCAAGGCCTGAAGATGAATCTGGAGAAAACAAAGCGGATGGGTCCTTAGAATATTTGCAGGAATACCATAAAATCCAACTAGATGTAGATTACTTCATTATGCCGTGATAGATAGACGAATTCAGCTGGAATGGGGCGCCTTCGGAAAATTCAAAGTTGTTTTCAAATCGAAGATCCCGCAAACAGTAAGTACAACTTCCAGTACTAATACACGCTGGTGCGATGTGAACACAAATCAATATGCTGCATGTCACCTAAAAAGCAATAGAGCGGAGCGATCTATGCTCTGTATCATCCTACAAGACAGACTGCGTAACACCGAGATCAGGTGATACACTGGACTCACCAACATTATCGCTGGTATTGGGCCGGTCACGTAGGCACGTAGGATGGGAAGCAGAAGCATATGCAGACCTGCTGGAAGCGGCAAAGGGTAAATGGCAAATATTGATAGGCGTATGGAAAAATTCAAATGTTGGTTTATGTAAGTATGTAATATCACTTGACTGCTTTTTTAGAGTTATGCTATTTTTGTAATAGTTTTAATACAAAAAACAAATATATAAACATAAAAATAACAACTTGTAGATGTGAATTAAAGTTTTCTGTTCAATTTAAAATAAAATCAAGTCAATTACAACTTTGTACAAAACATTTCTTAAGGTGAACTTTTGCAGTAGTGATAAGTTTCATTCCGTAAGAAATATATGAAAAACTTTCTAAATACGAGTTGAAATGTAACAAAGGTAGGCACTCTGATTTTTCGAGGCAGCGGAGTTCAAAGTTGCGAATAAAAATCTATTGGGTAAGTTTTTAAGCCCTTGATAAAGTTCCTAGGACTGTGTTACGTTTTCTTTGAAAACATTTATAAAATACTTATGGTATAAACTAGAATCTCAAATTTTCTTCGTTCCAAATTTTTTATCGTAAATTGATAAGTCTTACTTATTTCTATGTAATTGAAATCGGAAACAAGGTGATGACCCATCTGATGATAAGTTGTAATAGTCGCCTATATACATGAACATCATCACTAATAGCAAAAATACCTCTTATCATGTAATTTGGGAATATAAAATATTAATAAAATAATATTGCCTAAGATTTCGTTATTATTTATATTAGATGAGAGAATTAAAATATGTTTTAATAGCTACTGTATCTTGGCAAAGTATATTATAAATACTATTATAATTAGAATAATATACAAAAGTGTCTGTTTGTTACCGTTTTTCGACACAACGTCGGAATAGAATTTTAATGAAATTTGATGTGAAAATAGATTGTATCAAGAAGACGGACATTGAATTAAAAAATATATCTGAGGACATTGAAATAAGGGATGATAAGTTTATGCAGATAAAACCGCGGATAACAGCTGTTAAAGCCAACCAGCCAAAACTTGAAAATGGGGCTTAATAAAGTGTATTTGTGAAGAGAAATAAGAAGTAAAAAGGCAAATATTCAATCTTTAGCTGAATTCTAAATAAACATGATATAGATAAACGATAGTAATAAATGAACAGATGAATAGAGGCAATATATAAATCAATGTTAACGAAGCTAGGAAAGCAAAATGCAGAGGACGTTACGCTATTGGCCATTATTATTGCTGTTAAATGGAAGTCATTAATTCAAGTCACCGTCTTCTGAGAGGTTTCATATTAAGTGAAATGTACCGGTTCCTAAAATACGCATTAGGTACGCTTGGTTGAAACTGTCGTCTCTAAGTATAGGTAAGAAAGTTACAGAATGTATCGAAAATAATATATGGCAACAATTCTGAAACTTGGCATTACTATTCATGAAATTGTTAAACTTTTCTCAAACATGCTTACACAGAAATATTTACCTCCACCTTAGAAAAAAAAAACGTAGCAATATTTTTTTATGTATACAGGTAAAAGTACGTATCGCGTAAGACTTCACCACTAGTAAATCATACTTAATGTCATGTGTAAAATATGTAAAGATATTTCGCTTTTGAAGTTATATGTATATACTATATTTATTTACTATTATCTGTAAGCAAAAAAATATATGTAAAAACTATGTTGTCGTATAGTTTGTTGGATAAAGATTTAATCGGTTTGAATAACAATTATGAAAAGATTTAGTTAGTTAAATACTAATAAACAAAAAATAAATAAATAAATCATTAGATAATAAAGTGCAGAGTTCGGTCGGTGTTTACAGCAATAATGAAGCCGTTTATTCTATTAATACTACTTTATCACCGTAATATAGCTAATAAACATTACATTAATGAAGTCTTTATACTCACATAGGGATCTGAGCTCGCATAAAGTTAAGCTCTCTAACGTTACTTACCTACGGGCAGGAAAGCCCAAGTGCCCGTCCCTTCGGTTCAGTTAACCAATTCAAAAGTCCTTTTTATCTGTTACATTAGACATATAGACTTTTCATTTTATAGCTCTACTAAGTGTAAAAGGTGTATAAACTCGACTTCATGATGTATCTCCACTTGAAATTTCAAGAAGATATTTATTTCATTTAGTTCTTCAGTTGTGAAATGAATAGACAGACAGATATACTTACCAATTATAATATTTGTATGTTTACTATACAGTACATGTGACAGATGTATACGAATATATAGACTAAATGTATAGGTACTTCAAACCCCTGGAGAAGAAAAAAGTGGTTTAGAAATATATAGTAAGCATGGATATAGAATGATGGAAACCACTAGTTTATTCAATATGTTTAAGGAATTGTTGCCCTTGTTATTCTGATATCCTATAAGCTATATTACTGTCAGGTTTCATCAAATCTTCTCAGTAGCTGCTGCATGAATTGATGTAAAACATTAAATGTCATATTTAATGTAAATGAGTAAAATTATAATGCATGATACGAAATAAGTATGATTAAAATTGTTTCCTTGTGGTTTCTGGGTTTTGGTTGAAGTTGAAAATAAACGCAATATAAATGGTCTTAAAATTTAATTGGCAAAACAATTAAAATAAAGATCTATTTATGGCATCACAGTAACTTAAAATACTTTTAGCACCTTTACAACTTCGATTACTTAACTACGCACAAACTTAACTTTCTTCGTAATGCTATATATTATAATATTTATAATTCTCGCTGCTGTTATGTTATAATATTTTTTTGTTTCTACTGCAAAAAGAACTAGTGTTGTTCGAATTTTGACATCCTACAAATATATTCTTATATACATAAATAACACACACACATGTAAATGTGTTTCATTCATAACACAAAATGATTGATCAAGAAATTGTCAATATATATTTCTTTAATCAACGTCTATATCTGCTGAAGATAGATGGGGCGAATTTGCCAAAATATTGAACGGGTGGAAAAGATGGTGTTTCCGATAAAGCCGAGGAAATGTAGTTTGTATTTGGTAGTAGCAATTGGTCTTGGGAGTAAACTTGGGGTTGGATTGGCTGTGCTTGAGGAAGTGCGGTCCTTTGTCGCAAGTACGGTACTGGTTTTTGAACTGCTGATTTCTGGGATGAGGTCTGAGTGGCCTCAGCTTTTACTAGAAGACTCTGTGGTGCTTGATATTGTACTGTCTGGTACTGAGGCTGTTCTCTGGGTTTTTGTTGATTGGCTGGGGCTGGCTGACTTTGTGAGAAGCTGGCGAAGCTTATAGCTCCCTGTAGGTCATTGTAATTAAGCGGTCCTTGAGATTGCAAGTAGATTACTCCTTGTGGTTGAGCATAAGCGATTGGTTCTTGCGGTTGTGTATAGGCAACTGCTTGTTGAGGTTGAGCATAGGCGATCGGAGCTGGGGTTCGAAGGTATGGGATAGTCGCTTGTTGTTGCTGCTGTTGTTGAACATTTTTCTGAAAATATTAATAAATAGGTTATTTTAACTATAAAATATGTAATTCAAATATAAAATATGTTATTATCCTAACATATGTACCTATATATACCTACGTACCGTCACATACAATAATGTATTATAACTATAATTACACTATATATAAAAAAAAATATTTGTACATAGACGACATTTTAGAATACCTATTATTGAACTTTATAAACTTAAAAGAACGCATAATGGTCATTATGTTAGTCCTTTTGTTTGTCTGTGTGAATTAGCTATTTTATTAAACATTTATATTCATGAGTACGTTTGTTTGTATCGGTCTGGATGTTTTCTATGTATACTATGTATGTATTTACAAAAATAAATGTAGGTATCTAAGTATTCAATCAGTTCTTTGTCCATAACACAAGTTCTGCTTAGCTTGGGACTAGATAGCGCTGTGTGAATCGTCCGTTTATTATTATACTTAAATGCTCAATTGTATGTACATTTTATTGTAATAGTTTTACACAGAAAGTTATACGGTACTAAGTTGCAAGGTCAGCTAATAATTAATATAATTAAAGAAAATATTCTTGAAAATAAAGTGGTGTCTAGACAATTTTTTTATTAACGAGTATCTATATACATATGATTTTATAGAAAACTTATTTGTTAATAATACAGTTTTAATTATAACAAATATTATATTTTTAATGAGATACGTAACGAAAAAAAATTTTCCTCAATAAATACCTGCTGAGATTCTGGCACATCCTTTTCCACCTCTTTAGCCTGTCTTGGAACTGGGGTTGGCAAAACTGCTTGAGCAGCTGGTTGGCTCTGGGCAACATTGGATTTTTGGACATACGTAATTCCTGGCTGAGCTGCGAGTACCAATTGCTTTTGTGCTTGAATAACTGGCACCGAGTTGGTTGTTTGTGGTGTCTGTGGTTGCTGACGCAAATATGCCACGGAGGGCGAAGCACTCTGAATATATTGTATAGGCCTCAAAATTTCATTTTGTGGAACGGCTAATCGAGGTTGGTAGCTAATTTGTGACAGAGGCTGGTAGGCAGATATTTGTTGAGGTTGGCCCAATCGTTGGGAATACACTATTGGCTGTGGTTGGACAAATATTTGCTGATATTGCTGTTGTTGGTTAACCCGTTGTAAGTTTACTTGGTTTAAAGGTACTAGTTTGGCAGTTTGCTCGTATTGTGTTTGCGGTGTGTACTGTATAGCGTTCTGCGGTGGCTGGTATGATATCTTGTGTTCGGAGTACGCTAATTGAGATTGTATCGGCGGAGATATCTCGTATGTAGTGGGAGATCCAAGCTGTAAATTTTAATTGTTTGAGTTAGTTTAATGAAACAAATATTTGCAAGACGAAATTACAATTCAATATTTGAGAGAGTAATGTGCTGTTATGAAGAATATTGATAGGAATGGAACTAGTAGTCTCATTGCTTCCAAAGTACGCTCTCATCATATCATCGTGGTTAATTCGTTGGCAAATACACATCGTTTTCCTCTTTATCAGCTCTATCTTTCATTATGTTATAGGACGGCTCCGCTATCATTTAGTACACTTGTGGTCAGTCGCTAATACATAACCACCATTGATTGAACAAATTGAAAACCGCAATACAACGGTGTATAAAGCATCCTAAAGAAAATACTGGTTACTTTGTTTGGGCCCATAACGTTTACTTAGTAATAATATAATGTCTATTTACGTCATTTCACTCACCCTAGGCTGGTAAATCGACACGGGGGCGTATAGATGGCTTGCAATGGCAGCCTGGAACGGGGGTCCCTGTCCCGTCAGCACATCTGATATCTTTGCGATTTGTGGCACAGGAGTGGCGTAGATTTGCTGTGGAAATTTTAACGTTATGCGTTAGTGCATATGGTATAATTTAGTTTAGAAAAAATGGAGTTGTTTTGTAAACATTTTTTAAGGGCATGTACTTTTAAGACATTGAGGTGATATGAGTATTTCCGGATCCCTTATTACAATAATCTTATTTTGTTACATACGATATTGTCTTTTATTTATTATATCTATAAAGATATTAAACTAAGGAACTTTAGATGAAGAAAATATAATTTTGGGGGAAAGGGAAAGTACTAGTGGGCCCATTACTAACAATATATGGTTCATGACAAGATTAACTGACGTGACTCCATTCTTATTTTATTATCCCCCACTGGTGTCCCACTAGTGTATAACGTCAGCGCAGCGCATTCATAAAAAAATATTCATACATCGTGTTTGAATTTAACACTTCATTGAATTTATCAGTTGTCGTCTATACTATGTATATAAACTAATGTAGAGACAGAGTGCCTTTTTAGTTTAGCCCAAGTACAACTTGATGTCAAACTCACAGTCGTATCAAAGTCACTTAACAGCTCCTATCTCAAGGAAATCTTTGTGATCTAAACAAACATTTCAATGACATCAGGTTATACGAAATGTCTGCTTTCTTATAAATAAATTGCCATTTATTACATATTTGTATACATATACATGAGTTAATTTTCGCATTATAATTGTATGTTTGCAATAGAGTTTATATTAAAATATAAAAGTAACTAGCAATCGAGCGGGAATCATTATTAGGTAATGATTTCCCAAAGTAAAATGGTTTCTACTTTAAAGATAGTTTTCTTACCGTATTACTTTTAAAAATTGTATATATTAACAATTGTTTAGAACATATTTTAATCTTTTCAATTCATCCAATAATTTCCTTTAATTTTATTTAACTTACTTTAATATAATTATTCTTAGTTATTATAATAAAAAAGCCAACTAATTTCATGAACAGTGTGTGTGAGACAGATGCTTTAATTTACAATACTTTATATTTACTATATTGAAATTTTATATGTCATCTAATCTATATTGAATACAAAAAAAAACAGTGACTTTTTTATTATTCAATAAAAAATGTAAGTTCATTTTAGTAAAAGTATTAAGACTATTATAAAGTACAATAATAATATTGCTCTATTTAGGTGACCACTTACAAAGGGTTGGTAGTATAATTTGACATTCAGATGATTATGGAGCGTAAAATTAAGTAATGTACTGAAAAAAGTTATTTTCGTTTTTGTTTCGTGTTGTAAGCTACTGCTAGAGAAATTGCACCGGTGCTATCTGTAGGTAAAAATTTTACAAACATTGAATGTCATATTTATTGATATTTAAACAACAGTTACTTTCCCCAGTATGCAGTGGTAAAAGTTTACTTTGAAATGTTTTTGTGGTGCGACCGACATTACCCAAACACATTACTGCTCTCCACAGGGTCAGTCGTAAAGGGTATGAAGACTAAAGCCACAGTATTAATGAAACTGAACAAATTTCCTAAAGACGTATACCAGAATGTTATTTAAATAAGTTTCATAACTATAATCTGCTCAGTTACATTGCAAATTAATACGAAAAGTATAATATTATTTTTCAGTTCTAATTTACAGCATTATGGCCTAGCGGTTAAATACCCCGACTAACACACTAAAGGTAGTGACTGAAAATCTGCCTGACAAAAAAATGATTATCAATTTATATTTCTGACACTCCCTTAAAAGAGACAGCTATAATGAAATCGAAAATTCATTTGAGTGACGGCGCGGCGGTTGATTCACCCAGGCCTAGTTGGTTTCAAATATGCCCAACGAAATGTGACTAGTGTTGGCGTTCACCACGACGCCGATAACTTTAGTAATGTGAAGGAATCAGAGGTAATCCTCTGACTAACCCATTGGTGAAAACAGTAATGATGGTTTATTTTTGCTTGTTTCTTCTGAAATCGGCTCAGCTTCTTGTTCATTACACCAGGTTTTTTACTTTTATACCTATATTTGCGCCTATATAAAAGGCAATGAATAGAAAATGATAGTATTTCTACTTCTATAGAAAATTATAGCTACTCCTAACTATTAATTTCTATTCATTTGTTGCTGTTGAAACTTTTAACTTCTGTTAAAAGTTCTGAACATGTGTATATGAGGTACCCAATCTCATTAAGAACAACCGTCTGCAATACCTACGGGTCCATTTTGGAAGACGGGGAGTGTGAAAGGCGCTGGGATCCTCGGTTTTCCGGGGCGTAGATAAGACGATTAGTGTCATAACATTATTCCCGGGACTAGGGGAATGTGTCACGGAGCCTTCGGGAGAAATTTACTGAGGCAAACTAATTTCTTGGGCGTCTCATATCCGGCCACGATAAAAACCTCGCAATAAGAACAAGACTTTGTTAGCTATGATTAATAATAGGTATATTTTAGGCGATACGAAACAATACTTCTAAATTAGTGAAGATCTAATGAGTAAATGTTATCTACGCATACTAAGTTTATTGCAAATAGTTGCATCGACATGCATCATGCGTACATCAGACATATGATATCTAAAATTGAAGGAATTTTGCTGCATGATTCATCTGTAATAAGAATATTAGCAGAAAAGCTAATGTGACTGGTAGTCTTTTTATTGTACAATTAAAGGTAATGAAGGGTCTTCTAGTAGTGACCTCCTAACGACCAACGCGGTTTTTGGCGACCCCTAAAAATTACACAAGATAAGTTGATATCATATGGGTGAGGTATTTTCAGTGCCAAGATTTTATTATACCCACATATCGTATAGATAATGATGATGATGACTGATGGTGAGAAAGACAATATTCAAATACAATTAATATTATATTTTAACAAAATCTGATACATAACATTATAAAATATTCTTATCAAACTGGATGTAAATGTATAGAATCTTCTAGAGTTCTCGTATATTAAGTACAACCTCTTTTTATTTTGCGACGGAAAATCTTTTTGCAGGCGTTCTTGGTTCATTGGGGGCCTAATGTATAGTCTAGATGTTGATTAACATAATAATTCTAATAATGTAGGTTTATTATTTCTATGCAGTTTCAGTATATTAAATTACATTTCATATTCAAATGGATGAATAATATTATTAATATTAATTTCATACCATTTCTGTATAATAATACAATTTGATATCAGAATAATTACACATACAAATTATTAAAAAAAAAAGATAGTGAGAGATATTTTTTAATCATAAAAAGTAACAAACTATTTTGTTTTCTTTTATAAATGAAATGATTTTATGTCATATATTTAAAGAGTTTGAGCAAAGAGCGATCTAAATTGATCATTTTCGACTTTATTCTAATACATTTGCAGCTTCGTCGGACGAATATGGGGACGAGTGCAAAAGGCACTCCAAACCCGCGCAAGAACTGAAGCAGCGGCTGAAGGCAACTTTTGCCTAACGGTAAGGAAGTTTAGACTTTGTGTTGATCTGTTGTTAATTAATATTTGTGTAACATTTCCAGATTGTTGTATGATATAACACAAAATTCACAAAAGCTTTGTAAAAATTAGATTATCTGTCCTTATATAAATTTATTTAATCTAGATACGTAAAGGTGAAGCAATGACTATATATTATTCCCTTTGCCAGTTCGTGATTTGTGTGCCAATTGCGGAAAAGTGACTTTCCACTTAGGAAAAGTCAGGAGACAAAAAATACGGGTTCTCGTAGTAATCTGACGTGTATACGCATTTTAGCGGACGTAATTTTTGCGGTAGCTCCTACCTACTTAGAATACATTTTTACAGTAAAAATACTTCATCTTTTAATGGACACTTAAACTTTACTTTTATTCTAGACATTTTGCTGCAATTATTGTTGATTTTTGTGTTCTAGTGTAATTAAAGCTATTTATGACTTAATAGATAATACATGATAGAAAGAAGATAACTATAGTAGGTTCATAGTAATATATGTTGTATAAAGTTGTCTAGGTACATAGGTTGCTAGTGTTTTATCTATATTTTCTGCTACAGTTTGCTTGCATGCATAATATGTTCCTTAAAAGAGATGGTAATCAAGTTAATAAGTATAGTGGAATAACACTCAGTCCTCAGATTTATAAAGTATGAGAAGAGAATATCTAGTTGTATCCACGAGGTTACATTTAATAATAAAAGAAAAAAAGTTACCACAAAGATTGTTCATGATAATATCTGTAACACTAGTGGTCGTTTTTCTTTAAGGTATACTGGTTACGTAGTATAAAATTTGTATAGGAACTATTTATTATAGTATGATAACAAAAATGGATATAATATTCAGGAATATATTTTCGACCCTCCCATAAGTATCTGTAATGACAATATTAATGTTACTATCATATTTGGTATCGGTATGGGATCATCAATTTGCATGTCGAGCAGCTGAGCCTTGTTTTATGAGAACCCAGGAAAGGGAATTTTAGAAATTTATGTTATAACCGTAATATATACACACGTATGGTATTATTAATTTTGTGAATATGGTAAATGGTTTTGGATCCATCATTCGCCATCTATTACTTTGGTATATTCATATCTGCAAATATTATTGAAGGTAGTATGAATAAGTAAAGGTACTTTATTATTCTAATAAAAAAGAACAAATATTATATACGAAGTATTAAAATATTGAAACTTCAATATGTTAAAAAATATACCGTATATATTCACCAAAAAGATTTCATCTTACTGTACGAAATATTATATGAAAAATAGTAATACGAAACTATAAGTACTTTGTTCTAATATGTGATTGAAGTTTACAGATCATTAGTATATTTTATACTATATTTCTTAAGTGCTTCACGAGTTATTTTATTTTTAAAAGGACCTAACAGCTACTGGTATAAAATTAATAATACGAAATAGAATTTATTATTAACACATTACCTTGCATTGCACTGCAGAGGATTGTTTGTTTTTTAAAACTTTATGGTTTATTTTATGATCACTATTATAGTATTCCAGACACCAAAT